GGTTATGAGCAAGGGGCGGTGGAATCAGCTAGACTGAACTCAGCCGTGATGAAGACGGCGGCTCGCAGCGTGATGGCAATGATGATTAATATTGATGGCGATGAATTAGGATGTAAAATTTTGATATTGTGAAATAGGGTATGAATTGGGTTCATGGGATGACGTATCGCAGAGAACCCATCATCAATTGCTAATATGAGATGGTTTCTCTATTATCTCTTTTACTAATATGAGATGCTTCAACTGTAATTCATGGAAGCTTTTCAACACCTAAAATTCAAAGTAAAGAAGTTGATTAAAGGAGAAACAGGTTCCACCACAAGTCTATGATATTGGCTTCAATAGACCAGACAATTGAACTTTCTCTTAGAAAAATTAGGATGGAAAAGAAGGCAAAAATATGAAAAAGAAAAAGAAACAGTCAATGCAAACACAATAGAGCGTAATTCCTTCTCGCTACCATAGTTATGTGGTCTTAAGTGTTGATCTTCCTGCAGTTCTTTCTGATCTCTACCTTTGTACTAGTTAATGGAGTGGTATTTCCCATCTTGATAACCAAAATCAAGAATGTTATTATAGTAAGAGAGCATACAGTAAGTGAGAGATTAATTAAGAGTGTATTACACTATTAGGGTTTCTTATGGCAAAAGCGTGTGGAGTGATGAAAAATGCCTTGGGACTTGATTTGGGTGAGATGGTGGTGGGAGGAACTCGGGCAGAGAGAGAAGGAGGGGTATTTTGGAAAGATTAAAAGGGCAAAATGAGTATTACAGTAATAATTTAGGGGTGTTTATTGCACAAAGGAGTAATTTTGCACAATTTCAAAAGATTAGGGGTGTTTATTGCACACTTTTTCAATTAAGGGGTAAAAATGTTACAAAAAGTATACTTCGGGGGTGTTTTCTGCACTTCCCCCAATCTTTATGTCACACACTTAAATAATAAACCTACACCAAAAATAAAAGAATCATTTCCCAAAACAAAAACATGTCCATTCACATACTTAAATTCATATTCGCGGCATTTAAATCTTTATCGCTACACACTTAAATCCATAACAATTTGAAAAAAGGCTAACTTTTTTTAATTCAACAATTTTAATCCACTTTTCCACACACTTAAATCTAAATTCCACTTTTTTTTTTCTTTTTTATTTTTATTTTTATTTTTATTTTTATTTTTTTAATACTCGTTGGGTCAAGGCAAATGGTATAAGACCCAACGGTCAAGAGCCATTAAAGGTCAGAATTCCCAACCAACACACACCGCCGGTCATCCAATGCATTCTTCTCCTACTAACACACACCGCCGGTCATCCACCGTCCGGCAAATTTTCCGGCGACATCCCTCTTCTCATATATAATGTATTCTCAATACTATTCCATACATGTCGAAGTTAAAAAAAGCTGAAATAACCAACATGAAATAGAAAAAAAAAGGAGAGAAATATTACTAACAATAACAATTGAAAAAACAATAGCCAATCAGATTATCAATTAAACTATCAAGCCAGAAAATTCTAGAGCCTAACAATGATGAATCGTAGGGGTGAGCAAATAATCCGTCAATCCGATCCGTGTGGTTTGGTTCGGTTTTTAGATTTTATGGTTCGGTGATGGTTTGAAAAATTTGCAATCCGATATTCGCGGTTCGGTTAACGGATTGGACCCTGAAAAAACCGATCCGAACCATTAACCGAACCGATCCGAACCGTTAATAATATATATATATATACACAATATTAAATATACTTATTACTTACCTACCTCCCTCATTTCATTACAGCCGCGCCTCCCTCAGCCTCTTCTCTCTTCACCCTCCAGCGTTACATGCTACTTCAAGTCCATGACCTTTCTCACTGGCATTTAGCTCGGAGCTCGCTTTCCCACTCCCTATAAAAATTGCATCAAATTCGTCGATCCCCTCTCTCTCTTTCTACTTTCTCTCTCTAGGTCTAGGACGTGGGTTTCACAGCTATTCCAACTCCCTTCACTATCAGTGTTGCCCTCTTAATATCAGTCAATGGATCAGCTCATGCCTTTGTCCACATCTACGACCGAGATTCTTTCAAAGAAGTCGGCAATGCTTTCCTTCTCTCCGGCGGCAGCGAAGGCATCGTTGCTTCTCTCACCGCCGTTCCTCTCACCGACAAATCGATTTCATTGTCAAATCATAATGGCCGTTCTTATATCAGGTAATATATATATATATATATATATATATATATATATATATATATATATATATATATATGTTACAGATATAAATATGTGTGTGTGTTACATATGTTGAATTTCATTTGCTATTGGTGAATTTGGTGTCAGATCTGCAACTATATTGCCTGTATGCTTGAATTTCCTCAACTTTCTGTTTGGTTGCTGCGAAAATTGAAGAGAAGGAAAGATGAACAATACCAATTACATTCTTGTGTATTGCATTATTTAAAATCAGAAATCTATATTTCAGAATGCTGCCTTGAAATAAGCCAAATGTAGTTGTATCAGGCTGTTAATGGGCCATAATCTATTGGGCTATTTGAAAAGCCCAATCCGTGAAAACCGATCCGATCCGATCCGTTACTTCACGGATTGGTTTGGTTCGGATTGAAGGCCTCCACGAATCAGTTCGGTTTCAATTTTCACCAATCCGTGGAGACCGGTTCGGTTTGATCTTTATCCCCAAACCGAACCAATCCGAACTGTAATTAGGCCTAATGAATCGTCAATTCATAAAGAAAATTTTGACATATGATAAAAAAAAAAAAAAAAAATTTGCTATATCTCGAATTGGACACCATCTGAAAATAAGAAGAAAGATGATGAAGAATATGCTACCCCTTGGATGAAAAAGCTGTCTTCTTCCCAAGTTTCACCAAATGACCAACATACTCCCTTATTCTACGGTCCTAGGCTGCTGTAGTTTCTCATGGATTTTTATTTTATTTTATTTTATGTTTTTCAGGTCTCCATTTATTATCTATATAACATCATATAGTTCCCAAGCTATCTCATCTTCCTACTGTTTGAGACCCTGCAAGGCTTTTACTTGTCTAACTCATGTGATGTAGTTGTTACTTGAGACTACAAGGAGGGACGGAGCCAGTTAAGGACCAAGAGAGACACGTGCCCCCCTGAATTTTCTTCCTCTCTTATATTCTATACATATTTTATAATAATATATATATTTTTTAATGAAAATATGGAAAGTGTCCTTCTGAATTTTCTCATTCTTCGTACAATTCTATATATGTTTCATATTTTTTCTCCAAAATTGTTTCCTTAATCCTTATATTCTATATCTGTAAATTAATTTCATTCCAAAAATATCTTTATCTCTTTCTATATATATATATATATACTCATAAATATTGACTTATATGTATGTATATTATATTGTAAATATATGTTATGGTATACAATACTATAATGTGCCCCACCTGAAAAAAATTTATGGCTCCATCCCTAACTACAGGTATTATTATTTATTGATCTTTTTTACAAGCTAACTAGTGGGAATGGGACTTATTCACTTGGGTCAAAAGCAGTTAAATAGGATGATTATGCTTATTTTATATTTCTGTATTCTGAACCAAAATATTTCATTGTTTGTTTAGCAAATTCCTGTGCATTTTGAATAGGTTGTGTTTGTTTCATGAAAAAATTGTATCAGTAGAGGAGAGTGGTCAGTCAGTCTGCTTCAAAGATACAGCCAGTACGAATTACTCCATATGAGAAAGAGGCAGGGAGTGAGTTTCTGTGTGGTCAAGCATCAATCTTTCTGTGTTTTAAACACTACTCCGTATAGTTAGAGATTTCTTGTGATACTCTTTCAACTTAGAAATCTACAGTTCTCCATATTTTTGAGACGGAGTTTGAGACATGGATTGTACATTATAATCTCCGAGATTGACATTCTTGTTCTGCTCATAAATGGTTCTTCACATATATAAATTGATAATCTATTTTTCCTAATTCATCTCATTTCCCAAACTAGAATACACTATATATATATATATATATATATATATATATTATGTAACACATTAAAGACAATACAATGGAGTATATTGTATAATATTATAAGCACTTATGGGAAATGAACCCAGCAATACCTATAAGTAATGACTCATTTATAATATAGCAGGACAAAAAAAATAAAAATAAAAGGAAATTACAATATCAATAAATGAACCCAGCAACACCCATAACAAGTTAGCAACGAACCCATTTACAATAAATATCTATATTATATTGAAAAGCAATCGATGAACCAGCAACTGTTAAGCAACAGACCCATCTGTACGACACCCAATCTCAAAACACAAATGTAGAAGACTCTGAAAACAGTTTCAACCCCAATTCAAAATGGCATTTTAATATTTCACAAATATAGAAGACTTTGAAACATCAAATGTGGTAGGCGGTTAAGTGCTAGGCGATTGGGGGTGGGGCAGGCGACTGAAGAGAGAAGGATTGAAGGAAGAAAAAGACAAACAAAAAAAAAATTGCGGTGGCAAGTATAGGGGTAAAATAGTCATTTGACATTTTTAAAAAATATTTTAAATAATAATTAGGGTAAAAAAGTAAATTCACAGCAAATTCTGACATATGGGTTTTTGCCGGAAAAAAAATAATAATAAAAATAAATAAATAAAATGACAACCCAGGGGGAGCGAGAAAATGACAGGAGTTTACCTTATAAATAATGGTCAAACGTGATACAATTACAGTCCTAATCTTAAACATTTTTCAGGTTGGCCTTACGAGTTTTATACAAAACTGAAACTTTATTTGACATGACCTGTAATTTACAGAACTGACAATGGATATTGAACCCAACAACCCTGCCTAATAATTTTTACTTGATGCTAACAGATATAACAAGCTCATGTCCTGGCTTCTATTGTCGTCATTGAACTATTTATGAACAGCCTTGCCAGCCAAAGTTCCATCTAATCGCACCCAAATAAATAAATAAATAAAATAAAATCAATCCAGTAATAGATTCTAAACAATTAGACTGTTCTTCACTGGTAATAATAATGCGCAAGGTTTTTGAAAGCAAATCATCAATCACCATCGTTACATTTCTGAGGCATCAATAAAGAGGATTGTTAAAATGAGGGTCAGAGGGAAGCAATGTAATACCACTTTTCTCGGAAGGAAAAGTGGGCAACCGTTCAACGAGGTATATACAAGTTTTGCAGCAAACTTGCAGTTGGTTCAACAAGTGATATTACAATCTTTGCATCAATATACCTCTCTCAAGCTGCTATTGTACTACAGGCTGTAAATTATGCAACGTTTCAGCAAGAACCTTGCACAGTTGGTGTCACCACAATTTCCATAGTTGATTCGACAACAGGGATACAATCCTGAACTGCTAGCCATAGATAATGCCCGGTTTCTCCTAATTTCAATCATTTTACAAGCATGGAGAGGTTAAAAGACAAACAACCATCATTAAAAGGTGACAATATCTGAACACCTTCCCAGCAAGTCAGTCGGTTTAGCATTGCACGCAAATGCTTCATAAAGCCCTACTTGTTTAGTTTAAATAAGTGCCTCCAAGTTCTGCATTGCATTGCCAAAATATGAGAGTATGGTTCCTGTTGTGAAGCATGTTGTTGGGATTCGTTAAATTGACTGAAGCACCAAGACAAGTGCAACCAAACCTTGTGCTACTAAACTTTCAAACCTGTAGCAAGCAGAATAAACTGAGTGCACAAATGCTCAAGATCATTTGACAAACATGATAAGACAATCAAGAATTAAAAAAGTATCATTTGCTTTATAAATGAAGTTAGCAGAACGGAAATAGTAAACTGCAATGCAGATATTTTAGCTCCAAATCGATGTAATTTTTATATCATACCTAATAGGTACTGTGATTATTTCTCAATATACTTTTTCAATGTTTGAGAAGCTTTAAAATTATCCTTCAGCATGAGAAGTGCGGCACTCCTTGCACATGTAGCAGCCAAAAGAAAGGATGCAAACAAACATCATCATCAGCTACCGTCATAACCACGCCAAATTATGTAGAAAAAAGAGTGTGATATCCCATTTAATTTTGAGCCAGCTTCACTCTTCTCAGATTTATAAGCCTATTGCTCATATTTAGGGTAATCTCAGCCTAAACAGTAGAAGCATCTTTATATGAATTTAGGAAGGTTCTGTTGTTTCCTTTCTTCCAAAGATTGCACATAGAGATGCTGCAGAAATAAGTTCACTACTCAGGGCTTTCAGAGACTTGCCTTGTACTGACCTGAAATCCGCATCACCACATTAGATACACTCCCAACTGTGCCATTGAACATTATCCCTCCTTTATAGTTAATATTTCTTTTCTTATTGTGATTACCATTGTTGATCAAGATGTAGAACAGCGGGTGCATTTCCATATGGTGTTCTAAGTTCCTTCCCCGAACCGTAGATTACGGAAACATGAAACTTCAACTCACTCATGGGCAGTGTTATCAAAGGAGGCGCACTAAGGCGCTAGAGGTCCTTTGGAGCCTAGGTGCAAGGCAAGGTGCGCACCTGAGTGAAGCGAGTCGCACAATTAAAAATTAAATTACTATTAAAGTATATTCATATTCCATATTAAAGGCGCAAATGTTGTCAAAGGCGGGCACACAACTGGCGCAATTGTTGCGCCTGTATGAGCCTGGAGCCTAGGTGCACCTTTGACAACCCTGCTCGTGGGATCACTGTACGGACAGCCATCTCTCAAGCATGAGTTTAGGTTTGGCCTCAATGGGACAATAAAAATGAAACACCTAACACATCTTCACAGATGTAGGGATCATACCATTCAGCCATTTTTTCCCCATCTTTTCCCGGGGGTCTGGAGAAAGCTGCAATCAATAGGAAATCTCTTTATTCTCCGTTAGTGCTATATAGCCAACTTGATCGCCATTGCGTATGTTCTCGGTACCAAATTTGCTGACAAGGTAATGATGCTATCAGACAAACAGACAACTCTAGCTATGCCAGAAAATAGATTGTTGATATATTTCCCATGGATGTGAGTTTGCCTCATGAATCAGAGTATCAGGCACAACAACAGAATCACGGAAGCACCTGCAAAGACACTTGCCATCCAGCATAAGCTGATTAGCATTTTCCATGTAATTAAATATTCCTTATAAGCAATGCTACAGGAACTAACAGGGAATCAGTTGGAAGGAGTATATCACCTCTCAAAAGAATCCCTGTCTGTGATATTAACCTACTCTTCTCATTAATTTCTTAGCTTCAAGAAAAGTCCTTCACCTCACTGCATGTAAACATTGTTTGATCAAAGGTTGAGGGTCTATGAAAAATAGATTCTCAGACTTGTACCAAACAAGATGCTGCCATAATTCTAAACCACCGCAATAAATCTTCAAGGAAGAGAGACTGAGGGAGCGGAAAAAGAGAAATTCTGGTCTCTCTGCTTGAACCATGTGAATTTGACTGTTTCGTTTATGTGAGACTTAGAAAGCTGTTGACGGCTTCATATTTCCACTGAAGTCAGGCCCTCTACCCTTATGCAGTGCACATAATCGTCCCTGCAACCAACAAAAATCCGGCCACCAATCATCACTGGAGAGGAGAAAATGTCTCCTTCAAGGTCCAACCTAGCAAATTCCCGCACCACATCTTTCTTTGGAAGATTTCTCCCCCCAGTGGCATCTGGATGGATTCGAAGCAAATAGACGCTCCCAGAACTGGCAGATACACAAACTAACCTGGAAAATAAAGAAAGATGTCTCACATACTGATTGTTCTAGGTTATAGAATCATTGTAGGGTATTTCCTTACCTGTCTGACAGATGGGAGAGATCAGATGCGAACTGCAAGTTCTCATCAACATAAGCGGATGAAGTGATTGGGTCTCCAACACTGTGCTGCCAGAGTAGATCCCCATTTTCCTAAATATAAAATGGAATCATATATGTGCAATCAAAGTCATTAAATATTTAGAGTTTCCCCATCTCGGAAAAAAAGAATTTAGAGTTCCCCAGAAAATATTTTTTTGGTAAGGTACCTCAGAAAACATTTGAAGAGTATACTTCTGTCAGAATGTCAAAACATATGTACATTATTACTATTTTATTCTCAGTGTCTTAGATAGACAATGAATTATACGTGTCTGGCATCTCAGATTGTCGGACACACTGAGCCTTAATGTAACTGCAAACTAGGGAAAAGTAGTCTTACAAGGAATCATCCACAGACCATAGAAAATAACTGACCAAAAAGAAACCTAACCACCAACAAAGAGATCAATGGTGGTAAAGTGATCCCTAAAAGTAGAAAACAAGGTAATCCTATTTTGAATAGAAACTCTGCTCTCATTGACCCATCTAGATACAACAAAACCTGGCTCTAACAAAACTATAAGTCTCGAACTTCCCTTGTTAGAAAATATAATCACAGGAGCTATTTAAGCCTTTGTAGAATATTTATAGGAGTGACTAATGGAATTGATTTTAGGAGTCCTCCATCAATATATTTTTCATATTTACCACATGTTTGTATTCTTTCACCTAAAAATAGAGGTTGTCATTGTAAACAAAATTAAGAGAGAATATAATGAAAGATATGTATTCCTTTGGGGTTTGCGTGCCATGGATGTAGGCCGTAGTGGCCGAACCATTTTATATTTTTGTGTTGTTCATTCTTAATTTCTCGCCTCAATATTATATATGTTTTAAAATGTTCTCTAACAAATACACACACATATATATTGTTTGCTTATAATCAGTACGATCAATTAATATGTTGTGGGGTGCAAGTGTGCCAGAGTTTGTTGCAAACTCGAGAGAAACGTCGAACACAATCCCTTTTAAGAGAAAATCAGGCGTTTATAAAAGTGGGAATAGAAAACTAATAGAAAGGGTTCTCACTGCCTTGGATACAAGCACTTTTAAAAAAGATGAAAGAATTGCAATGCGAATAAATTAATAAAGAATGCATGATGCAAATAAATGGGCTACATAAAAGTATATTGCTTGTAAATAAAGTGATGTGGAAATTAAATAATGAAAAAGGAAATAGCCATTGGAGACTAAACTGATAATAAAAGGAAAATAATCATCAGAGATTAGGGTTGAATAAAATTAACGGATAAATTGACATTGTGTAACAAAGATTAAATTTGATTGTTGTTGGACCGTTTGCTTATTGTTGTAGGCTCTCTATTTATAGTATCTCAAGCCAACTTCTCCCTCCTACTTCTTAGCCATGAAATCTATTTTCAAACTTGATTCTCTTCCCATTTGAGTCAAACCATCAGAAGTTGAATGGGTCTTAACTCTTCAGCATGAAATGTGTCTTCCCTTTTCAAACCCAACCAAGTCCTAAAGGAAGGAGTCCAATTGTTGGGTGAAAAGGGAAGACATATGGCAAGCCCAAGACCCATTCAACTTCTAATGGTTTGACTCAAATTGAATTCAAATGGGAAGAGTATCAAAGAAAAAAAGAAATTTTGTGGCTACGAAGAAGGAGGGCGAAGTTGGCTTGAAATACTATAAATAGAGAGCCTACAACAAGAAGCAAACAGTCCAATACCACAACAATCAAATTCAATCTTTTATCATCAGTTTCATCCGTTGCACCAAGGCTCGCCCTCCTCTATACTGACTTCAATAATTAAAAATTATATTATCATGTTGCATTGAAAAATATACCAGTTTCTGTGATGATAATTCAACAAAATATCATATTAACATGGATCAAATGCTTTTCCATGATTCTAACATCATTTGGATTCTAAAATGTTTAATTAGTTATTTCAAAAGAACAAAACTAGTGGAACCATGTACCAAAGACAGTTGATCCCTAACTCAGAGAGAAAAAAGAAGACTGCAAATGTACATAAATGATGAATAATAGATCTTTACCAAATCAAACGAATAAACGCTTCCATCTCTGGAACAGATGAGCACCTGCAAAGGAATAAAACCAAAAAAAAAAAAATCTTTAGAACCTCCATCAGAATATTGCATCCTAAGTTTTTATTGCACGATGATAGAGATTTGTGCATATTGATTTGTAGGGCATAATAAACTTGTATTACAGAAATAAGATCTTTGCAATACTTTACTGATATTTTACATCTTGGGGGGTATAATACAGATGATGTTAATATGTTTGTGAGGTGGCAGTAATTTGGGTTAAGGTTTTACTGATATCAATACCTACATGCTTTATTTGGGTGTTAGTAATACAGGTCTACCAAATTAGTTATCTCAAAAATGTTTTTAAGTATATATTTTTTTTCATGCTGAGTGTTTGTTTTCACATCACTTGTGCTTCTTCTTTGCATTAAGTTTCATAATCAATATATTCCCTCTAGAGCATATAGCAAAAATGAACAAATTATGGTTAAATAACACTCACACCCCAAAAGTTAGGCCTAATTACACATGGTGATCAAAAATCAAAATAGGCCTTAGTTACACTTACCTCCCTTATTGACGTTAGTGAGCTCACGGTGTTAAAAAAAAAATGTATTAATGTCATTTTTTTCCCCTTATTTTATACTGGATTTAACCAAAATGCCCCTGCAATAATTGGTCCACCCTCTCTCTCACCCGCATGGCTCCCCCTCTCTCCACCCATCCACCTCCACCACCTCTCTCTCTCACACACACACACACACATCAATGCTCTTCTTCTCCAATATGCTGCTTTTACTTCACAGATATATAGCTACATATGAGAGAGCATTTCGCTGTCTCCATCCATATGTTGGCTGATTTTGTTTCGATACGTCAATTTACGGTCCGCAAATATTTGTTGGGTTCAGAAGTCATCAGGAACTTTAATCTTTTTTTTTTTTCTTCTTTTTTTTTTTCTTGGGGGGGGGGGGGGGGGGGGGGGGGGGGGGGGGGGTTTAAATTAGTTCATATCAGTAACTTTAATCTTGAAAACACCTAAAAATACAACCACCACCAAGCCATTTCCCCATTACTTGGGATTGGCTACATGAATCCTATGTTTCTACTCCACACTGTTTAAGGCCATAGCCTCAGCCAATCCACATGCTATCACATATTTCTTTACCAACTCAACCCATGTTAACTTTGGTCTTCCTCTTCCCCTAGTATTAAAGGTCTTCTTTGCACGTGTCCAAACCATCTTAACTTTGGTCTTCCTCTACCCCTAGCATTACCCAAAAAATATCAGCTGTTGTTTCTTGCGATATATATATATATATATATATATATATATATATATATATATATATTGTTCCAATTATAAATACTTTTTGAGGTACTATGACTCATGCTTATAATACTCCCTCCGTCCCACATTAAAAGTCCATTTTTAGAAATGGGAGTTTTTAAGGGGACATGCATTTAATACATTGTCCCCTTTTAAAATTACTAATTTGTCCCTTCTAATTTAAATATATATAATTACAAAGTTTGAAATTTTTAAAAAAGATAAAGGACAATGATGGAAATATAGAATTTATTTGCTTGACTTTTCAAAGAGGACAACTAATTTGGGACATATAAAAAGAGAAAAATGGACTACTAATATGGGACAGAGGAAGTATTAAATATATATATATATATATATATATATATAATGATGCATTATATGTATAATGTATCTGTACATGGAAGAACAGATTATTTCTGAAAGATTGAGGTATAGTCACGGGAAGGGTAAGGAGGAGGTGGTGTCAAGCAAATTTGGGTAACATTGGTAAATTTTTTAACTAAGAAGGCTACTAACGTCTTTTCAATAAGGGGAAGGGAAAATCTGTCACTACATTAAAAAAAAATTATGGTTTTAACGGCTGGTTAATGGGAGGGTCCGTTGAGCACACACACCTAACCTGAGGGGTACACAGTGTTATTAGGCCCATTTTCGACCACAATGTGTAATTAGACCTAACTTTAGGGAGTGAGTGTAATTCGCCCAAAATTATCTGGCTCACAACTAGAAATTTTCACATCTTGGGTAATCTTATTTTTCAAATGCATAGTTTTACATTACCATGGTGATAGAAACATAAACAAGGGCCATATGTGTGGACTTTGGTAAGCACTTCGAGTGAGACTGTTTAACCATGAATGTGTTCAACAAACCTATGCAAGCTACATTTAACTATCTCTAAGCAGACATAGAGCATACATAACACATCCTTTCTCAACTAGATTTGTTCTTATACATCATCATTGCACTAGATGGTGAGAGTATGCCTTGAGATATCGATCAGTTAATTTCTTCTTCTAACGGGGTAACCGACATCAAAGTTCAACCACACATAATCACATACTGAACACAAAGAATGGGCAACTAGCCATAGAGATCAATGTGCTTAAGGAAAGGCGGGCAGCTTAATGACCAAATCTGTTGAAGGAGCAGCAGTCTGAAGACACGAGTGGAGAGTTTGGTGTAAGTTTGTGTCAAGAGGTAACCAGGGGATTTCTTAACTTTTAAATTTGGTAACCTAGTTAGCCAAGTTATAACCCCTCTCATAAGATATTTGATCTGCACAGACTGGGTCCGTGGTTTTTCCTCTCGAGGTTTCCACAAAAAAGTTTGTGTTCATCTTGTGCTTGCTTGCTTTATTTCATGTTTTTATTTGCCTATGGTCAAGATGAATGAATTGATTTACTTGCCTTCTAGTTAGTTAAGTTTTGAATTTATGTTGCTTTTGTTTAAAATCAAAGGCAGCTAAAATTTCGAGTTAAGCAAAGCTTACTCTTACTCGGAGCCTGGGGTTCCGATCCTGATCCCTCAGTATCCAAAATCTCTCTGTGTGACCGTAAAGCCAAGGGCCAGAGAAGCTGAGAAGTCCCCCCCCGCCTCCTATAACTACTGGACCGCCATCAGCCTAACAATGACAAATACCAAAGGCTGAGGCTTCTCCTAGGCCTTCTTAGAGAGCTTAAACCGCAGCGTTAATGCCAAAAACAAACCTTGCGGGCTTAGAAAAAATAAAGAAAAATTGTGCAAAGAGTCTCTAAATATACCTTTGATAGCAATTTGTTTATCAAATTAGGTTAATCCTCCCTATTGGCTGTATCTCATTGGAGGTTGGGGTGGGAGAATTGATCAAGGGACTTCTATTTTATATAAGATAAATCTCTTTGTTACAGGAATATGCTAGTTTTGGGCTGCTAAGATGGTTGTCTGTTATTGGGCATACTGTGAAATATTGTGCTGGGTTGTTCTCCCATATTAAAGCATCTACGCCTTGCAGTTGCTGAAAAAAGCATTTACAATAAAGGCCTTGTGAGGAAAAAGAATCTCAATTATTCTCAAGTGATAAAAGCAACTTAGTTCACAGAAGATGGGAAAAAGACAATTATAGGATTTGTGATCAGATATGAATTTTTGGTGATGCAAACATAATTAAATGTAATTTCTTTTTCTTGGATTTGGAAGCATCAAATGCAACCACAACAAAATAACCACAAGTATGAAGCACTGACTCCCCACCTTTTTCAGAAATAGTGATTTAAGTTGCTTTGTGACAAATTTCCAAGATTACTATTTAAATAACTTATACGTATAATGAAAATATTGACAAAGATATAAATTAAGTAAAGGAAAGAAGAGCCCTGGTTGTAATGGAGTATTAAGTAACTGAAAGGTGCCATGGATTCCTGAAGGAAAACTTACCTGAGAAGGTAGGGTATGAGATATGGATGGTCCAGCAAATATTGGCCCACCAGTTTTCCCCTGGGAAAAAAAATAAAGAAATAAAAAAGATGAGAGTATTAGTGTCACGCCAGTAACAGAACATGTTAGACATACACACCAAGGGGTCAGCACAACACTAACAACATGAGATTAGAAGAGAAGACTACATTTGTTTCTTTATACGAATGATACAGAACTCTTATGAATGTATAAACCAGATTGGACAAATAATGGAATTCTACACTTCAGAAAGATCTTTCCCCCATCTAAGTAAAGTTTATTATTTTTAAAGTTTCCTGCCATTTTCCAATCAGACCCTTCAAAAATATTTTGTACATGTCATGATTTCAGATACTTGATTCAGCTGCTTTGGCATGGTGAATCTACTGGTTTGCGCCTATCAAATTGTATTGCAACCATCATTATGTCGATAGCAAGTGCAGGGCATTGATTTGCCCATGCAGAAAATAGTTGCTTTCCATTGCCATTTTATTCAAAAATAAAACAAAAGTTATCTTTAACACGTTTACTATCACTGAGTTGAGTTGGGTCAAAGACTCAAGGTCAATGTTTGATGCTGCTTTGTCATCCGAACAAGGACCGTACATTTCACATCCCAACGTGAACAGAAGCATTTTAGGTCAGGTAATTCCACCACATGCTTCATGAATCTACAATCTGCTTCTATATTAAAGTTAACCCCGTTTATTAGTTCTCAAGTACAGAAATTTAAGTAAACAAAGTCATCCAAATATAGAACTACGCAAAACTAATGCATCTTACCCTCCAAATAATGGATCCACTCGAATCTAGTGCAACAACATGCCCATCCACCAAGCAACAAATAACTGCAAAACCAAGCTAATAAATTGATGATATACAATTAAATCTAAAACACAAGTGCACAAATGCATGCTCACACACAAAAAAAAAACCAAAATATTTGATGTTCATTGCAACAAATAATATAGGTATGGAATAATTCTAACAGAAATTTTCGTAACAGGTTTTCTATTGACTCATGTGGGAGAAGTACTTCTAAAACCAAAAGCACGATGATCTCTATCACTTTGCTTTTTACAGATGTTAAAAGATTACAGAACAATTCTGACACAGACTCCTCTATAGATCATAAAGAATGATATTAATACCGTTTCCATTATGAGGATTGATGGAGAGAGACCCGAAAACTGGCACTCCCAACTCATGCAGCCACAATGTACTGAAAGGCAAAGCCTGTATTAAGAAAAATAGGCTAATAAGAAGAAAAGTGACTTACAATCTCTCTCTCTCTCAACTCAACCATTTGCATCTGGACCATATTGTTAAGAAATGGAACTTTCCCATTCGAATCACATTATTAATTAAATTTTCCTCTTATCACTCAACCTTCAAACCATTTTCCAGTCAGCCTGTGAGTTTGTTAAGCCAAAAAGTACATGTTCCATTCTAAATCTTGTAATAGTGATATTCATTTTACAAACAATGACTTTGATGTGGGAAGAAATAAAATTGAAATTTTATACCTTTATTGATACTGCTGTAACACGGCCACTAGTTGATGCCACATAAAGTGTGTTGTTAACCTACATTGAAATGTCATCAGTTATGAAACAATAGAAACTAAACAAATGGGCATAGTAAGTTCTTCAATTTTCTTGCTGATAGGTTTATAGGAATTACATTGACATATTTCGTGAATCAAAACTAGATTATGTAATTTTGTTTTTACTTTTAGTTTAGAATTCTTACAAGTTAGGGTCTGTTAGTTACCTCTTGGTTTGGTTGAAGATGTAATTCAACCTTCATTGAAGGGTAAAACGGTAATCTTCTATACCAAGGGTATAAATGTAAATCAATATTTCTATGCACACACCAAAATTAGGGTCCATGCATCCATATATTAGGAATTGCATGATTTGATTTGAAAAATCCTAATTAAAGTACATATACAATATTCTAATAACTACTTTTTCTGAAAAAATTTCAAGTACAGAACTAAGTACTTCAATTGAACAGGAGCTATTGGAGTCATGTCAATCAATCGACATGTCTCACGATAGATCAAGCTGCTCGAGAAAAAAGTACCCTTTTCAGCTTTAAATACTAAAAATCCTATTCTCTTTACAACACTAATTTATCTATAAATACAGTATCATAGGGTAAATCCTAGACACACAATATACACAGATTTTTTTAGAGCTTTTGAGCAAAATTGAGTGCATTCATATTTTTCCCTTAGCATTTATCAATTGCATTAGATTGGTGGTGGTGGAGCTGATTTGAACAAGTTCAACACTAACAATTATTCAATCAAACCACAAAGGATTGGACTGGTCATTGGGAACCAAATCACTGGTTGTAGAAAAAGTGTGCGTGAGGAGTAGATCTGTTAACGAGCAGACTGTGTGCCTGGAGACTCGAACCGAAAGTATGGTGGATCAGTAGGTATCAAGAGGTAACTACAAGTTGTAAGGTTTGGGCGCTATTCACTTGTACACATAATGGATTTGGTTTGCCTAGACAAGGTCCCGTGGTTTTTCCTGTAAGGGTTTTTCACATAAAAAAACTTTGAGCCCTCATTTATGTTTTCTACTACTGCTTTTATTAATTATTGTTTTGATGGTATGATTGATTAACATGATGGACGACTGGACATATTGAATTTTATTACTTAATTTTAATTTGAAATTTTGCTTTTAAAATTAAGTAATGAAACAACCAAGACCTATTCACCCCCCGGTATAGATCACAGACCATATGCAACTCTAAATCAGAGCCTAGGGTTCCAGTCCTTACCCCATCACTCCCTTTCTTTTCTTTTGTATAGGGAACAGGAAAATAAATGACATTTACAATTAATCAGTAACATCTATTAATTGAGAGTTTTACATTAGTTTGAAGCAAATTTGCATTAATGACTTAAAAGGGAGATAAAACTAAAAAATTCTTATGTGGAGCAGCTATACAAGATTATTATTTTTATAGATATATAGGTATAGTACGCATAAACATATGCACAAGAAGGCTGTGGATGCATATGCCATTTCAACTAGTGGACTTATCCAACTATGGCACCTGTAACGCCAGACATTTATTGATGAAATTGAGTCTGACTATAATAAAAAAAAAAATCACGATATTCGAAAAGAACAGTGCTATGCAAACCCTATAACTCAAGAATGCTAAGTTAAAAATAATTTTTTTTAAAAAAAAAAAAAGGATAGCCAAGTGCACGAGTCTACCGCTACTGCAAGGGTCAGAAGTACACGGCTTACCTCCGCATACTTAGAGGTTGTTGAATAAACTACTGTAAAATCAACTACACTATATGTCCATTTGCACAGTTCATCACACCATCTTCTAGACAGGGACATGAGCATGCAGCCATCTTATCTTTGAGATGAGTCACGCAATGTGGATTGTTTCTATCTATTGAACCACCTTCATGGGATCTTCAATCACAAAGGTTGGACACCTCCATAGGTAACTCCCTGATTGGCTTAAGCCCATCCCCCCTGACAAAGGCCATGCTCTCAATATATTGTTAGTATGGTTCTTCTAGGAGTAAGCTAACTATTGTGAATAGTTCACCTTAAGTAGCTTCAGTACCCTGCTCCGATATTCTTGTCTATCATTGCTAGTTATTTTGGGACTCTAGTATAATACTAAAGACATGAACTGTGATCTTATTTTTTTGATAAGTAATAATTGATTAAAAGGCGTTCAAAAGGGGAATGCGTCCCTTATACAAAAGTGGAACCGGGATCTAAGGACCCAAAGAGAGTTAGAACTCCTCTTCACATAACTAAAAATAGAGCGAATAATATGAAGTTTCAGCATCGCCATGGACGACTCCTTCCCTTCGAACATTCTGCTATTCCTCTCCTTCCAAACGCAATGTGGAACTGTCCTCACACGTACACTACTTCTCACACGACATCCCCTCCATGCATTAATCGGACCCTTAGAAGATCAGGGCATTACCCAAAGCATACCAAATAAGCCGAATATAAGGTCCAAACAGTCGTACGCCACAGGGCAATGCAGGAGGAGATGATCCACTGACTCACCATCTCGTTTGCAGAGGCAACACCAATTAATAATACAGTTGCCTCTCTTCCATTCACTGTGATCTTATACTGTGATGTTCTTCATACAACACTCATCTCCTCCTACGAGTACTTACTACTACGGAGAAGTTAAAGTCGGTCTGTTTGAGAGTGATTTAAGATACCCCTGAAATCTTCTAAAATCAAGTCCGATGGCTTCGTTGCCAATATAACTCAAACGTATTGGAAAACACAACTTATGCCATGATTACAGCTGCATCAGCTAAAAAGTCACTAAAACAATCTATATTGTTTAGTTCCATATAAAAAAAAATTCACATTTCATGGTGTTTCATGAATTTTGCGAACTTTGTGTGACAATATAAAAATGGAATGCTTGACCTCTAATGCAGTCCACATAAGAAAGTGGGAATTTATCCAAATATTGATGCTTAAAACATTACTCATTAGGAATGGGAAAACATTTGCAAAAGTTCCAAAGATTAACAAGGTATCAAACAACATCAAAACCATATTAAACAATCTGTGCGCTGAAGCAAGAGTCATGTTGCCTAATGGTTAAGTAAATTCAACAATTATGGTTTCCCAGAATGCACCTCATCAATTGCAGTTGATCCATATATGCTTCCGCCACATGGAAGCTTATAAACACAGCAGTGATTTCTATAATCAAGAGCATAAAGATTATGGTCATATGATCCACACCTGCAGAAATTTAGTTAAAAGATCTGTTAAAAGAACAGTCCCAATTCTGCAACTCATATCGCATGGAAATACACTACCTATAAAGAAAGTAAATATAATAATATATTACAATGTTTTAAGTATATTTCCAATTATGAAAAAAAAAAATTTTGTTTAAGTATACTAATTCTGTAGCGTTAATGAAAATAAATGTCAAAGGAACAAAGAAATAATATCACATCATCATGTAACTGAAATACACGTCATGTCCAATCCAAAATCGAAATGTTGTATTCTGCGGTGTTTGGCAGCACGGAAACCATGCTTCAGAATTGAAATAGTGGATCCCGCTAATTCAGATTGTGAAGCAATCTTCCTCCAATTCCAATTCTGCAGCATGGAATTCATTCTTCCGAAAAAGCATTAGAGCATTTGCTCGATCATTTTGTATTCAACAACGTAGCCCAATTGGGGGGGGGGGGGAGTTTCTGACATCATTGTCCATGCCATGCCAGTAAAAGATTCAAGTCCTCATCTCTGAACTTTTATTAGTTATTTTAGGTAATTGTTTTTCTTTTTGCATCCTGTAGATGCCTGTTTTAATGATTTGTTTATGTGAAAAACAACCACAATGGCATAGACCATGTTCAATAAAAAATGTATTTCTGGCAGGAAAATAATACTGTAGTGTTTGTTGTCATGTTCTAATACCAATCGGTTTAATAATTGGAAACCATAATGGAAGTTTTATGTGGCTTTATTCTTCATCCACATCTGACAAGCTACATTGGGACTATACTGAGTTACAGTAGATCTGCAAATAATAGAATTTCTTATTATTGTTTTTTTAATCTTTTTTTATCTTTTTTTTCTATGTAGTGGTGCTTTCTCTTCTAGTTTTTATGTAGCATTCATTACTAACAAACTTCAATGATTTCAGGCCTAACATCAACATTTAGTTGGGTGAGGATGTTAATTTATGATGCTAAATGATAAATAAGTACATTCTAATTTCAAGTCAAGCAAGGTGTGTAAAGCTGCACAAGAAATATCTAACCATGTGAGAAAAGGAGCAAAGAAAAACTTAACAAAATATGAGCAGCTGCAAGGGCTAATATTATGAAAATTAGATCCTGCATAGTCAAGTCAAGGAATAGTTGTGCACTAACAGCAAGCCAGCTGTCAGTGCTAATATTATGCTTTTAAGTAAAATAAATCAAGTTTATACAATAGCAAGCCAGCTGTTAATCTTAATATTATGCTTTTAAGGAAAATAAATCGAGATTAGAAATATTATGCTTTTAAGTAAAATAAATCGAGTTTAGAAATGGGTGAGAAGAAGTGTGGAGAACAATTTCTCCCTAACTATGAGCTGTGATGTTATCTCATATGGCTTGAGATGTGCAGTGAATCATTGGTATATACACGTTCACACTAGTCCTCTAAATGCAGTGTACAAAGTATGATATCAATTGAAAGTATTCCACGGGAAGAGAATTCTACTACCTCAGGCAAAAGTGCCATCTTATAAAGACCCAATTAATTTGTGAATCATGTGATTGGAATTCAAAACATATCCAAGTCCAACATATAGAACTGCATATCTATGAGAAACATATCATATATATGTCTTGCTATGAACATACATTTCTGAGAGTTCAACCAATTAATCAATAAAATACAACATGGGAAAACAAGAAAAACATTACCAAACCAAGTGCCTGCATTTGTCTACCACCGGTTGTGACTTTACCTTTAAAAGTAAAACCAGAGATTACCATCAAACAAACTGCATGACAGCTTAACCAATATGTAAACTAATTGCAATAAAGATGAATTTGAAGGTAAAATAAAAGTTGAACAAGACAACCAAATCATTATTGCAACAACAATGGACAGTTAGATGAAACCCATATATTACGATTTCATTACAATTTATATTTCCACAGTAAAAAAAATTTCTTCATTTCATATAGATGGTGCTTCCTGGGAACTTAAGGTTGCAAACAATCAAATCAACCAAATAAAAACATCAGTATCCCTTCTCAGTGAAAGATTAGATCCACTAGCAACAGAGTTATTAGATTAAATGGCTAACATCAACCTCTCACTTTGTGATATTTTCCGGTCGCCGTCATGGCGGCTTTGCACAACCAGACCAGCATATTTGCATGCACAATTACTAATTCAAACCAGTGACTCATAACCTGAATTTCAGAGTAAATACTATGATGCCAGATGATCTCCAGGTCATTCTGTCTGTAACCTTGAAATAGAAAAGATCATTATAATCATCTAGCAGGATATTTCTAAATAAACCAGGAAACTTCAAAGCTGTTGGGCAAAACAAATCTAACATGATTAACAGGGATTAAGACGCAGGCAACAATTTCAGTTCAAAACTTACAAAAAGATAAATACAAAAACAATTTATGCTCCGTTTGGTAGGATGGAAGAAAGTTGGATGGAAGGGAGAGAAGAAGAGATGAATGAGACATCCCTAGGGAAGAGAGTGTGTACTTCCCTCTTTTTGTTTGGTTGAATGGAAGAGAAGAGAATGAGATAATACCTTATTTTGTTTGTTAGAAGATAAGGGATGAGAAAGTGCTAATTACAAGGAAAGTTTTGTAATTTAAAAACATTTATAATAGCATTGCCTTTCTTCCTTCGTGTCATCCATCCATATTTGGAGGGAAGAAAATTTGTAAAGGAGGAAGGATGACTCATCCATCCTCTTTTCTCTTCTCTCCTTGCCTCCTCTCTACCAAACGAGGGAAGTTTGCTTCTTCCTTCATATCTTCTCTCCACCCCACTTCCTTCCTTCCTACCAAACAGAGCATTAACGTTGGTTTTACTTTTTATGGGAGTGGCCTTAAGTGGGAGTCCTTTATCAGAAGACTCAACTCTCATCAAGCTCTGAATTTACACTGCAACCAGAAAGGTACTTGTAGAACATGTAATATTTTCTATGGTGAAAAAGCCCTTGCTCCTTTCTCAATATATAGTACAGTCATACAAATATCATCCTATTCATCCCACTCCCTTTCAAGAGATAAATAAAAAATAAAAAATAAAAATAGAACAAAATAAAGAAACAGACAAATAAAATACACACACACACACACATATATAACATAAACTGTAGCCAAACCCAGATAGTTGGGAAAAGGCTTTATTGAGTTAAGTTTACAAAATGAATGTTCAATAGGGGTTTGACAAAGGTTTCACGCTAGCTGGAAGCTAACTAATGCAACCCTCCTTTTTCTATCGTAGGGATCCACAGTGTAATGAGAATACTCAAGTACAACACAAGCGGCAAGTTGCATCAGGTACTTGAAATTTAGCATCCTTATAAACTAATGCCAACTTAGACAAAAGTAGCATCTATATTCTCAAGTTACAAACACGATAATATATATATATATATATATATATATATAGAGAGAGAGAGAGAGAGAGACTTAAGATATTCAAGGAACCAAAGCATACATAGATGGATTAATCATAACCCATTACCATACAGATCTAAAAAAGCTAATATAGTGAAAAATCATCAACCTCTTTATGAAATTTTTTAATTCTAAGAAGATGACAATTTAGTTAATAATGCAAGAACACATAAACTAGGTAGATCTGCATAGAATAATCCTACCTCGCCACATGTCTGAAAAGTCCAGCAGATTTTGCCATTCAAAAAATCAAGAAAGTAAATTTTCCCTTGGTAACAACCAACTACAACCTAAAAAGATGTAAAACATTCAAAAATTTTAGAACTCTCTGCAGCAAATTTTCAAATGAAACAAACATGGAATAGGAGAACAGCAAAAGCATTAAAATAGGGGCCAACCAGTGAAAAATCACCAAGAATTGCTGCGGAACATTCTATTCGTCCTTCTAGTTTGATCTCCCAGTGGACAAAACCACTGAAACAATTTACATGATAAACACTTTATTAGCAACTGAATGATTCTTATAAAAAAATAATAATAATAATAAAATAAAATAAAATAAACTACCTTATATTCTTAATATTATGTACTTTTAAACGATTATCATGAAACTAGAGCAATAAATTTGATGACCATAAAATGCTCATGCTGTTTAACTAAAAAGCACATAAGTAATAATATAGAACACACGGTAAATTGTTACCGTTCAAAAATGTAAGCATATGATGATTAGAGATCAACTAATATGATAGTTCAAGTTAGATTTTGTACGATGTAAGATGATAGTTCCAATTATAGTGACAAAAAAAACATTTTCGGATGCGTTGCAGTCATATCCGGGGGCATAAAATAATCTTCTTTCCTTCATATTAGTTTCAAGTTAGAGCAACAAAAACACACAAGCTAAATTGAAAAATGTAAAGCATGATTAGCATTAAGGTTAAGTGGGTCACACTGAGCCATTGCTCACAACAGAGTTTTCCACAACCATGTTGGATAGGAAATTTTGAAGTCTAAGATCTAACTTTGTCACATTCTTTGAACTAGCGCCTTTCCCATTCAAGGAATATACTTTTCTTCAGTAGATGTTGGTACTCGGGAAGAGAATTCTATGCTAATAAATGTAAACACTAATCCAAAAATTGTTACACCACTGTTTTTTTATGTAATTGTTTTAAACTTTTAGGGTTCCTCAGGGGTCTCTAGTATTTTCAGCTAATGATTCTTCCTCTCCTTTGCCTACTCTTTTTATTTCGATTCCTATTGTTCAAATATCTGAGCACCTTACTGCTCTTAAGAAATCTGTTGATTCAAAAACCACCATCCACATGCCAGACATGTCTTATCTCCCAAATCATTCTTCTTGTTCAACAAGTCTTCAGTAATTCACCTCATAGTGTTCTTAAATCACAATCATAGACCAAAATAGGGGGTAAGCAACCCTGTGACTTCAATTCTTCAATTTGAAAAAAGAGCTCCATAGCTACCTTGCATATGATCAATTGCCCTTTATTGACAAGGTATTGACCAGTACAGAAAATGTCACGGAAATATCCCATGTATCAATGGTCCTCAATTACATCAAGAAACTGACTGATATCAACAAGAAAAGAAAACCCAGGGAGTCACCATAAATAGGTTGTACATGGATGGTAAGCACATTTTAACTTAAAGGCTGTCATCCAATGGCTGAAAACAAGAACATCAAAGGCATTTCAAGCTTATAAATAATTAATTTCAACTATATTATCATTTTTTCAAATTGAATTACATTCATACTACCTAACCCATACCTCAAGTGGCATCTCCTCCTCCCTCACATGGGAGGTTGAGGGTTCAAGTCCCCATACGGAAATGATTGTGTGTGTGTCTGTGTGCAAGTTAGGTGTTAACTTACCAACCAAAAAGAACGACATTAATGCTACAGTTAGTTACAAAACATTAGACTTTTTAAAGAAATAACACAATTTCTATATGGACAACTTTTACAATGATAATGACCAACAGATCAACTCATCTGTCAGTGAAACCATTATTGTCATCAAAATATGCATAACAGTGTCAATTCAAACACACAACATGTCATATTATTAAAGATACAAATGTTTGAAAATACCAAGAATTATATATACACCAAGATCTTTGATTAAGAAACTACAAAATAGAACTTACCTTTTGGCATTGATGCAAAAAAATTTGTGTGAATGAGATCCAATAAATAGAAAAACATCGCCATCCTTAAATACAACTAGTGGTGATGCATCAACGCAAGACTCCATATGTACTTTCCACAATTCTTTCATAGCACCTTTATTATATCTAGGAATTTCAGCTAAGCAGGCTGCTTGACATGAACCATCCCCCTTATCTGCCCCTTCATAAATTACTTTGTTGCAACGGCTAAATGAACAAGCCAAGGGTATTGAGTAGGAATTCCAAGGATAACAATCTCCAGGACCGATATCCTTTGAATTCAAATACAATTTCGAAGCCACCTTCAAGCATTTAACAGGATGATTAACATTCTTGTCATGAATGGTCCTCAAAATCCTTCCATGTGGCTTAGAGCTATAAAGATTAGAAGCCTTAGAATCAAAGGGAAGGAGCATGGTGTCCTTGTACATTTTCAGATTTGCTCTCCAATTAGTGCCTGTTCTTACATCAATATTGCATGATCCGTCATTTTGTAGAAGAGCCATTTGAAGCATCAAAGGACTTGGAAACATATACAGCAACCTCATGTCAATCCCTAAATTATGAGAAACGTGTGCTGCAGAAATAGAATTACCACCCATTGCGAAAAAATCATCATCATTGGAAACCATATTAACCATCAAAGCATCACAAAAGGCCTGCCAAACAAAACCGAAAAAAAAAAAAAAAGAGGCTTGTGTGATCTGTATTCTTCAGCAAAATTAACTTCACCAACATAAAAGTAAATTCTATTTCAAAGTTCAAATCAAAGACCCAAGATTTTTTATTTATTTTTTTAGTTAAATACTCACGCACACAAAAGGCCTGCCAAAGAAAACAAAAAGAAGACTTATGTGATCAGCATTCTTCAGCAAAATTAACTTCACCAACAAAAAAGTAAATTCTATTTAAAGTTCAGATCAAAGACTCGAGATTTTTTTCTTTTTTTTTTTAGTTGAATACTCACACACACACAAAAGGTCTGCTATGGGACTCGAAACCCTCACCTCCAAATGGCCGAGTGGTAAAAGACCAGAGAATATTAAATCTAGGATATCTGATCTTTACAACAATCAAAACAATTTAGCAGCATGCTCAAAATAATTTTTTATTATTTTATAGCTACAACCTATACAAAATAGATATTAACTTCATATAAAAAAGACATATACATAACAGATGCCAATGTGTCTCAGTCAACAAAACTGGTTACCAATTCAAGCTTCACAGGATCTAGGCCTCCACAACATAACTTTAATTGACGCCCAAAACTTAGGACCCATGTCATATGATTGTCCCTTTGTTTAGGGCAGCCAAATAGCATTCTAAACCATTGGATTCCGAACTTGTTTGAACTAGGAAAACAAAAAATGAGAGAGACTAAGCAAGTCAAGATTGTCGTACAGGCGATAGTGAGTGACATGGATACAACAAATTCACCTCACAATCCTTAATTAGACTCAAAATTTTGCACCAGAGATGGAAGCTCACACAGTCACAGATGGTGGAAAGGAAAGTGATGGAATGAGATGGGGGGGGGCAAAGGCAAGCCGATGGTACTTGATAATACTTAACTTAGAGAAGGTAATTGTATAACTAACTATCAATGTAAATGTGCCTTCTGTATCAATACAATTCATCCTAATTCCCTTTTATATAATTCCACTTTTCCACATCCAAACAAGAAGGAGAATATAAGCACCAAAATGCTTTCCAAACATTAGACAATGGATATTGTGTGAACAACTGAACCTGCAAAGAACTATTTATGATAGCACATGCAGCAGCAAAACCAGGCAACATCCAAAGGTATCATGTTTCGTAAAAACTATTTAGAGAACATTTAGGGTCACACTTAATTGCAAAAAATTGTTATGAATACGTTAGAACATGAGTTAATTTTCACAACAGATTATCTTCTGCCTTTTTCCTGCAGCAAGTAACAAATTGTGTTGTTCCATTCTCCAAATCTCTCTCTTCTAAAAGAGTCATCAATCAATCAAAAGACAAGAAATATCCAATACCATCTGCTTTTTACCCACAAGTAGTAACAACTCCTGTTCCCTTCTCAGAATCTTCTCAACTAAAAGACTTATCAATCAATAGAAAGATAAAGAATTATCCAGCTCTGCACATCACATAATCAGGGCACATATTATGACGCTCCCATCCTAATGTACACAACTACTCCTGATGAAATCTATGAATACTAAGAAATATTGTTTGAAAAAGAAAATCAGATAAACATTATGGCAAACAAAAAAAAGGTAAGAGATATTGGAAATGCCGAGAAGGTAAAAGAGCGCACCTTTTTGATAATTTGCAAGAGGTCAACATTCTGAATCTCACCAATCTCATTCTGCACATGTTTCACGGAAATTGTCAAAGTAGCTAATGATGCATAGTCCACTTTCCCCGTCGAAGACATTGGAAATGTTTTGGTGAAGCTGAGACGATTAGGAATCATTGCTAAGGGAAGTTTGTCGACCATCCAACTCCTAATAGAAGATCTTAAAATTTCACCACAATCATCGTTCTGTTTTATAATTAAATATGCTTCAAGAAGTGCTACGTCTCCTTGACCTTTACGGGAAATAACAGCAGCATCAACTACATCTGGGTGTTCTCTTAATGCACATTCAATCTCCTCTAAAGCAATGCGCTGCCCATTAACCTTTACAGTGCGGTCTTTTCTCCCTACAAAAACCAAGTCACCACTTTGAAGCCGTCTTGCAAAATCACCAGTTCTAAAATAATACTGAGATCCCTGATCAGTGATAGAATAGTCACAGCAGGAGTCCTGAGGCAACTTTACATAATCCTGAGTTATGACAGAAGGATTACAGAAGTATCCAGTAGCAACACAGAGTCCACCAACATATAATTCTCCTTGGTTGGGTGAATCCTCTCCAACAAGCACTACATCACAGTTAGAAATAGGCACGCCAATGGGAACACTGCTTATAGCCTCGGTCTCCAAGATCAACGGCAAACTTTTGCAATCAAAATACGTACAATCACCAGACACCTAAATTGAATATACGATGCATCAGGCAGTGAAAATAAAAGTTATCGTAGTAGCTATTAGCAGCAATCACATCACGAGTAGAGAGTTGCATAAAGGTCCATATATCAGCATCCTTCCCTAAGCCATGATTACATCAGATTCACATAATAAAGAAGTGATATAAAAAGAGATAGTGAAACATAATAATTTTTTAAAAAAAGTTCACATTCCTTGCACCGTTTCACCGCAGTGCTATGACACAGTCATTAAAGTGATCACACATGAATGAAGACATTGCATTTGCAGAATAATAAAGTGATCATACATAAAAAAATGATCTTGCAACATAATTCAAGGAAGATATAAATTCATAAAAGTCATGGGCCTAGCTGTTATGCTAGTTAAAAGGAGATATTGGATTTTTTTCCTTAGGCAGTTATTACTTTGATTGTTAGGGCTGCACAGAAAGAAGAGGAAGACAGAACGGCTAAGAGAGGGACAGCCACTCATGAGTCTTCTAGGGGGTCATTCTTGTACCCCTTACTGCTTGTTAAGATTCTTATTAAGGACGTGGCAATGAAACTAGTATTTTTAGCTTCTTGTCTATTTTCGTTCTTCAAGATTGACGTACTTCTCAACCATCTTTCCATTATACTTTCTTTATCCTCCGCGGCTCTACCTAATAATATTCAAGTTTCATAGCACTTATCCAAAAAAAAAATTATAATATTTTAGTTTCATATCAAAAGAAATAAATAATAAAGAAATAAATGTAGATACATTTATAAAACTCAAATGATGCAGTTGGTCACAGCTACACTTAGAAACTACACCAAAGAAGAGATTCAAGCAAGGTAACACGAACATTACTCCCGTCAATCCTAACAAAGACGTGAAAGATTAAAAAGAAGAAAGACAAAAGGGAGGTCGGCTCTGGGAGCTCCTTCTGGTGTGTGGGGGTTTGGGATCCTGTGGTGGATAGATTTGAGAGGAGGTTGGCTGGTTGGAAGAAGCAGTACCTCTCCAAGGAGGTCGGGTCACTCTAATTAAGAGCACTCTCTCATGCCTTCCCACTTAGTTTATCTCCCTTTTTCAGATTCCCTCTTCTGTGGCGGAGAGGATTGAGAAATTACAGCGTAATTTTCTGTGGGGGGGTAGAGGGGAAGAGTTCAAGTTCCATCTGGTTCGATGGGAGCATGTTTGCGACTTATTTGGAATGGAGGTTTGGGCCTTAGAAGATTGGTGCCTTTTAATTAGGCTCTCCTTAGGAAATGGCTGTGGAGGTTTGGAGTGGAGAGACACTGGCTTTGGAGGAGGGTTGTGGTGAGTCAGTTTGGGGAGAGTAGAGGAGGGTGGTGTTCCCTCGATGTGGGTGGGCCTAGAGGTGTGGGGGTTTCCATGGGTTATGCCTTGTTCCGTGAGAGGGTTGATTAAGGCCTGGAGTGGTTGCTATATGGGAGCCCTCATTCGGGATGCTTGGAGGGCTACATCTCTGTGTGTGTGGTGGTGTTTATGGCTCGAGGGAATAGGAGATATTTTGAAGGGCAGGAGATGTCATTTCTATGCTTAAATTCTCTATTCTTTCCACTCTTTTTTGTTGGGTTTCAGGGAGAGATTATAGTTCTTTAGAGGAGATTGTTGATTTTTTGGCCTCTTTGAAGGCTTAGGTCCTTTGTGGCCTTTTGTTCTTTCTTGGGTTTGCTCCCCCTTTTGAGCGCTTTTATACAATTTTACTTATTAAAAAAAATAATAAAAAAAAAAAGAAAGACAAAAGGTGAGAGAAGATTCAAGATACTACTCTTATCTTTTATTTTATTTTTTTATTCTTACCCAAAAATGCTTTTGTATCTTTTATTGTAAAGATTTTTAAGTTCTAAGAAAGTCACGGGTATTATTTACATTATAATATTATATAAAAAAGGTTTGGCATCTATTATTATTCTTTTAGCAGATTCAACATTATAAAATTTGTAAATGTTGTCTGAAGAAAGGACAAGGTAAGGAGGGATTGTGGACTTTGTTTGAATATTGAATTATGTTTTAGGAAATTGTGTTTTCAATTCACAAGCGACCTTTTTTTTTTTGCAAATCATTTTTTATAAGAAACTGAAAGTGGTATTCTGTTACAAAGTATCAAATTGCCAAAGAAGGACAAGGCACTCCTTGCCTAAATGAAGAAAGAAAAGAAAATTCATCAAATCCACAGCTAAAAAATGTATGTGTTGAGGGTTCAGTGTATGGGTGTGTGTGCCTGTGAACAAACATATAATAGAAAATTACAGAAGTCCCCATATAGTAGCAGATGTAAATATTTAGCATAATAAAACTAAAAATATGTATCCAGAGACTGAACAAATGAATGGTTGCAAAACATTATATATACTTATATATAATTTATAGTAGATCACAGCAACCATCAAAATCAGAAAGGCTCGATATGGGAACACAAATATATTAATAATGAACTATCTTGTCAAAATTAAACTTATCATGATCCATATGAGTGACATATAGTCAAAAATATGAATGCAAGTGTCTAACCTCTGTACTTCCATATAAATTCAAGATGGTAGTCATCGGTAATAACTTGCAAAGCATGTCCCATAATGACACAGGAAGAACCTCGCCACTTAGCACTAACAATTTTAATGAACTCTTAGCCCTCTTGTTATATAGACTTCGCAAAGCAGGTAGGACTGCTCTCATCAATGATGGAACAGCAATAAGCCTGTTGATAGAATACACCTACAAAAACAAGTTGGAAATACTTGTAACAATTTATTTTGAAGAAAAAGTTGAATAAACACTTTGTTTATGACTTATGAGTAACATGGCCTGCATAGAAATATATAGGTCAAGGTATTTTAAAAGAAAAATAACATAAAAAAATGCATTGCGTACCGACAAGATAATAAATGCTTACATAAGTATAATCTTGCAGGTACGAAACCTCTATATAAAAATGCTTATATTAACAAAATAAATAAATAAATGCTTAATATAAGCATTTTTATAGAGAGGTTTTTGCATTTTTTTTGTTAATATAAGTATTTTTATATAGAGGTTTTTGCATTTTTTTTTGTTAATATAAGCATTTTTTATATAGACAATCAAAAAATTCTCTTGCGTATACTCTTATATAAGCAAAAACTTTTACACAGGAAGGTTTGAAAGTTACTTAGTTTGATGCCAAAGTAGTTGTAACATGCAGCATAGTGTTTAAACTGTTGGCAAAACATTGAGGGTGTCAAGTGTCAACTATACAACACAGATTGTCGTGAATCTTAAGAAAATAAAAAATCTTGGATCAGGTAAAATAAAGGAACATAATGGCGCATTCTAAAGCAAATTATTAGACGAGGTGTTGCACATAATTAATATGCTATTCTCTAGCTACAGAATCATGCTTTAAGCAAACATTACATTCTATAATTGAAAAGGTACCCACAAACTCACCCACCTCACACACACAATAACACACAAAAACTTTAAAATTTTAACTATTTTCCAACTAACAGTGTAAAAATCATTTTCATTTGCCAAACTCATAATTTTTCTAAATCAGTTACTGACTCATTTAATAAAATATATGTTCTCAACCAGAAGCTGCCAAAAAATTCTAAATCCCATCCCTACAGATGTGCCAAAAAATTCTAAATCCCCATCCCTCCTCCTATTGCCTTGCATATGTAATGAATATTGCCAGAACAATTTTATAAAAATGAAACCAACATATAAATATTTTGAAGTGTAAAGCTTTATGGGCCTTGTACCATGAAATGTAAAAATCAAGGCATGAAAAACGAACACACAGTTTGAGTTTTGAGTCACCTTCTGCTATTAAATTTTTTCGTTGGGTCTTCATCGGCTCCACCCTTCCAAACACCTTAATATGGACCTATCCTGGGCAATGACCTTTTTCTACATTTAACCATATAGTTTGTGACCCAATTCTATAATGGTAAATACCAGGATAAAATTTAGTGTAAAAGGTAAAATAGATCGATAAAAAAGTCAATAGTGGCGGATTATGAGCAAGTCCTGGACTCTACGATGATTATAATCATGTAAAGTATGACTTCAGTCTTTGGGTTTCGCACCCCTTCTGAGCGCTTTCTTTATAAAAATTTACTTATCAGGGAAAAAAAAAAAAGGTATGACTTCAGTCTTGTAGACTTTGTCAAAATTTGTTAATCTTGCTTATCATATACATTTGGAAGTTGGATATAGTTTATATATCTCAATGACTTTTTTTATTTTTTTCTTTTTGGGTGATGATAAGAAGTTTCTTTTTGAATGTTATGTAGGAGAAGCTTGAAAATTTTATGAAACATATGTGGTGATTATGCAATTACATCTCTGAAAACAATCCTTTGATGGAGTAAAATTTTTGTGTCCTAAATTCATCAATATCCTTACAATCTAAGGATTGAACAGAAATTCAAGAATTCAATAATAAAGAGAAGTGGAATAAATAAAGGCTTCTAATTGCTTCATCCAATTCTAAGCAATAAAAAACAACTTCCAAGTAAAAAATGTAATTTTGTGTATACTACTCTACCTGTAGAAAATCGATCATATAGAATAAATTTTCTTTTAGCTCAAGGAGAGGAGGTATGACTAGTGTACAAGTAGTAAGAAGAGCTCCAAGAAATTCTTGCAGATGATCAATAAAGCTTATTGATGTTTTGAAAAATAAAATTTCCTCTCCATGTAGGGGATACAGTTCTTGCATCCACCTAAAGCGATTAAGAAGACCTGACAAAGAATAAACAGATGACATCTAAGTGCACATAAAGATAGGAAGGGATCTGCAGAGCAAATAATGAGAAGTGTAGATCAAGCACAAGATTTATATGAGCTAGGTCATCAAATAAAATCACTCTCTATGAAGCATATAAATAAAAGAGGACCTGTTGCTATAAAAAAATAAAAAATAAATAAGAGGACCTGTTGCTATAAAAGAAAAGAAACTCAATAACAGCTTTCGTCTGAGAAATATGGCAACCGCCACAAAATTGCTCCAGTTTTCTGTTTGTTCATATCTCTTTTATTTTCCTGATGGGTAATGAAACATCATCAAAAGATACAAAAGATAAAAGCAGGGTGTGGAGGGAAAAAAACTCCCTCCAATAAAAAGCGCACACGTCACCACTACCCATATCTACATTCCAAGGACATATAAGGCCCATCATGCTCAAGCCCAAATTGAGGGTATTTACAGCCCAAGACCATTGTTATTTGTCCTCCAACCTCCATCAAGACCGAATCAAGAAGTCATCAGCCCAGCTTGTTAATATTTAACATCCGGCCTGTTACTCAAGCCCAGCCGGATCAAAATATGTTCAGCCCAGTTATTCAAGAATGCACAAGTCCTACTAGTTGAAGGATTTACTGTAGAAGGAAAACTCTGAGATAGGAAATTCTGTACAAGGCAAGTTCTACGTATGGAAAATTCGACAATGGAAAGAACTCTATTAGTAAAGAATGTTTATATAGAAAGAATTGGAGGGCAAGCAACGCGAGTCCTACCATAATTTTGCAATCTTTTGTATATAAATAGAGGCTAAGACCTCCAATAAAGGGATCAAGCAATTCTACGCTTCTCTATATACTGTTCTTGTTTATTTTCATTGTTTGTTGAGTGAGTTGTTTTATTTTTCTCAATCATTATTGGTTGAGCGAAATTCTACACCTACACTTTGGCGCCGTCTGTGGGAAACGTATAAAAATATACTCCCACTTGTTCTTCAAATCAAATCCTTAGTCGTGTCTGGAATGTCAAACGGAGAGTCAGCAATGAATCAACAGATAGAATTGATGCAAAAGATGCGAGAAGAGTTCTTGCACCAATTTGAGACACTCTGGCAAGCAAACGATACGAGTGTCGCCCAGATAGCCGCGCTTCAGCAGCAAACTCATACGCTGCACACGACCATGGCCAGGCTAACGCCACAACCACCACCAGGCGATGTTGCAGCACCACCCCCCACCAGGAATTTACCTCCAGTTCACGAGCCTCCAGCCAACGAGACACCACCCAACGGGGCTCGACCTAATGAGGTTCAGCAAAAGCAAGGGACGAGGTCCGAGGCGGTTGCTTCGGATAATCTCCCGCGTCGCACACAGGACGAACAGGCCGAGTCCAGCCATAGGCTTACGGTATGGTCCAATGGCGTTCCAGATGGCGCACGCGTACAAGATGCCTTCGACGAAAAGAAGCTCTTAAGAGTTCAGACACCAGCCGAGATGACTAGAGAGCACAAAAACTCCTTGATCAAGACCCCCTTTACTGACGAGGTGTACCTTGTGGAGAGACCAAAGAAGTTCACTATGCCATCCTTCACCCAGTTCGATGGGGCAGGAGACCCCTCTCGGCATCTCGATCATTATGCGCAAAAGATGGCACTGGACGATCATAACGATCCGTGGATGTGTAAGGTTTTTCCTACCAGTTTAACCGGAGCAGCGTTAGAATGGTTCAGGAATAGGCCACACAAGTCTATCCCTGATTATGAGACCTTGTGCACTATGTTCTTAGCCCAGTATTGCGGAAATAAGAAGCAGAAGAAAAGTATCGCCAGCCTTTTCACCATAAGGCAAAGGAAGGGAGAAACTCTGCAAGATTTTTTATCCAGGTTTAACATGGAGGCCTCGGAGATAGCAGATTGCCACCCTGCCACGGCAATCGAAACATTTAAGTTGGCAATGATCCAGGGAACCAAGTTTCACACATCCTTGGTCAAATATTCCCCCCCGGATATGCAGACTTTGAACGCTAGGGCACAAATCTACATTCGGTTGGAGGAAAACGTAGCCCACCGTGCACAGCACGCTACCCTCGTCACAGTGGAAAACAAGTCTCGAGAGAAAGCTGCCGAGCACAAGGATGCAGAAGGTTCCTCATACCGCCACACAAGTCACCCAAGCGTCTGAGAAGAGGCGAAGGACAGAGGGCAGGCTTACCCCTCTCCGTCCTACCTTGGCGCGCCTATTCCAAGAGAATAAGACGAGGTTCGCAACTCCTCAGCCCATGAAACAACCCTTGGAGTAGAGGGACAAAAGCAAACATTGTGCCTACCATAGAGACTATGGGCATACCACCAATGACTGCAGGTCCCTTCAGCGACAGGTAGAAAGCATGATAGCGAGAGGAGAGTTGGTGGAGTATCTCGCCACGAAGGAGCACGTAAAACCTCGGGAGGTTAACCCTCGACGGGTAGAGGGCGGTCAGGTAAAGGTTATCCATGCTATACACGGAAGGTCAGAGGATGATGAAGAGTCTGAAGAGTTGTACAGATCCAGGCTGAGAGAGGCTCATAAGTTACGAAGATTGTCTTCGGTAAACACGGTTGCACCAGGCAGCATCAACATTGGATTCGGTAACAATGATCTTTCTAGAGTCCAGCGCCCGCATGAGGACCCCTTGGTCATCAGCCTCCTGGTAGCGAATTATATGATCAGGAGAGTGCTGATAGATCCGGGAAGTAGCGCCAACATCATTACAAAAACAGCTTTTGATCAGTTGGGGGTTTCACCATCGTCCATCAGGCCAACTTCCAGCCCCCTAATGGGATTTGATGGTACTAAGGTGAATCCGCTTGGGGTGATCGATCTATCCGTTACTGCAGCAAAGAGGACTCTGAAGGAGAACTTTGTCGTGACGGAGATTCATCCATCTTATAACCTCATTATGGGGAGAGGTTGGAACCATCGTATGAACGGAGTCCCCTCTACCCTTCATCAAGTAATGAGGTGTTTATCCCCAGATGGCAGGGAAGTCATCGACCTCTGGGGAGACCAGGTGGCTGCAAAAGAATGTTACATGCTAACGCTACATGAAGCAAAAAAGGCGTCGAAATCACCTCAGTTAGAGGCGAATCCCAAAGGCGCAATCAAATAGCAGTTACAATATCCTCTGCCCAAGTATCTCAAGGCAGAGGAAGAAGCCGAGGCTGAAGCACCTACCGAGGAGTCCCTCGAAGCTATAGAGGTAGTCCTCGGAGACCCTCAGAAGGTCACCTACATTGGCTCATCTTGCACAGCCGAAGAGAAGGAAGCAATGATCAGGGTCATTCGGTGCAATTCAGATGTCTTTGCCTGGGATCACTCGGACATGGTAGGGATCGATCCTATGGTCTCATGCCATAGTTTGAGGGTTAACCCAGAATTCAGGCCGGTCAAGCAGAGGCACCGACGGTTCGTACCTGAACGGAATCGCATAATAGCCGAGGAAGTAAATAAACTATTACAAGCAGGATTCATTCGAGAGGTGCAGTACCCACAATGGCTCTCAAATGTAGTAGTCGTTCAAAAGAAGAATGGGAAATGGAGGGTATGCGTAGATTATACCAACCTTAACAAAGCTTGCCCAAAAGATAGCTTCCCTCTGCCCAAAATTAATCAAATGGTGGATGCTACGACGGGTTATGAGAGGCTCACATTCCTCGATGCATACTCCGGCTACAATCAGATTCCCATGAATCCTGAAGATGAGGAGAAAACCGCTTTCATTACAGCTTCCAAAGCCTCTAGCCCTTCAGGAGCAGAAGAGCTAGGAGTACCCTTCAGGTGCGCCTTCACCATCTCGGCAAAGCGGATTTCAGCTTCCAAAGCCTCTAGCCCTTCATCGTATGGGAAGTGCCCCCACCTGCTTGTCAAAAGCATCCGGATCCATCGTCTTAGGACCTGAGCCCTGATTATAGCCAGACCGGAACGCTTTAGCACTAGCCAGGTGTGCCAGACAGGAGTAGCGCCCCTGCATTTGCTTCCCCGCCTTGAAGCAAGTAGTAAGAGCCTCGGTCAGGCGTTGAACTTCGGCCTAAAGAGAATCCACCTTAGCCTCAGAGGCTGACAACTGCCTCTTATACGCATCTTTAGCTTCAGAAGCTATCTTCAGATTGGTAGAGGCAGTAGTGGCTCTCTTCTCTGCATTGTCAAAATCCTTTTCCAGCTTCTTGATGGAAAGGGATTGAGCTTCAGCAGTGGCGCAGAGGGCCATGGTGTGGTATAGACTCTGTTTAACAGGGGAGCAAATATAAGCATAAGTAGAAACATAAGCAAGCAAGAGTAACATAATTCTGAAGGAGCAATGCGAACCTCTATGGCCCGGACCAGGGCAGAGGGGAGTAATTGTTCCAACCCCATTTGGCTGATGGCTTCCTCGTCCTTTGGGAGCCACATTCCTCGAGCCACCGCCAGTGCAGCTGAAGGGTCTGTAATCACAGAATCCCCTGAGTGCAGGACTGACCTGTCAGCCCTGGTGAAGGAAGGAGTCCAAGGAGCCCCAGTCTCAGCCAGAACAAAGGCCCTGACTTCATCTTCAGGTTCGGCCTCTCCAGTCTTTTTCCCTCTGCTCTTAGAAGGGACTTTGTCCTTGCCAGAGGATGAGGGGTTGAGGCGAGATTTCTTCATTGGTGGTTCCTCAACCTCCACCTCATCCTCAGTTGATCTAATAACAACCAAGGGTTGGGCATCTTTGGCTTTCTTTTTAAGAGCCTCAGCCCTCCGTATCTCCTCCTCAGTCATAGGGAAACTGTCAAAGGATGGTAGAAACAGATCCATGAGGTCTGCAGCAACAGCACTGGAGGCAATATCCTTGAGGTTTGAAGAAGTTAGCAGGTCCTCGATAGGCGAGGGGTCACTCCAGACTCGTTCCTCAAGAAAAGAAAGTCTGTTCCTTGCTGCGGAGGATGGGAATGTAGCTGAAAAAACACCAAGAAACTCATAAGTACGGCGAAACATTAAGACTTGGCAAGGAAAACAACCAGAACACTTGGTATGAAGGGAGGTTAAGTATTCTATACCTAATTTCCCGAACTTGCGCGGGATGGGGAGCGTAATTGATTGGGGCACGAACCACTTTCCTTTAACTATAACCATCCTTTCTTTCCACTTCTTTTCGGATGAAGGAAGGTTCGTGCATATCCTCTGATGAAGGGGAGAGGTAAAAAAGAAGCGACCAGGCTCGGTCCCATGCTTAGATATATTGTAAGTAAGCAGAAGGTCGGCAAGGGTCAAATCCAGAGCCTCTAATTTCCGGCGCACCAACAGTGCCGAAAGGATGCGAAAGAAATTAGGATTTACCTGAAGGAGGGCAAGACCCAGCTTATTGAAAACTAAATGATAGAAGGGATGAAGAGGGAATCGGAGGGCGTTAAGATGCCCTACCGAAAGAAGCAACTCATCCTCCTCAATTCCCTCGCCGGAGGTAAAATCGGCACCCTCGGGATATTCTGCAATTTCTACTCCCTCAGGAATATCAAATTCTTCCATTACCGAAGCAATAGAGAACTTGATGCGGCGAATAGAGATGATTGCTTTCTTCTCTTCATGAGTAAGAACATAATCAGAGCCTGAGGTGGATGTCTCGGTTAGAAGAGGGGAAGTACCTAATGGATTCAACAAAAGGCGATCTGTAGAAACCCTAGGAGGGGGAGCCCTAATGCGAACGGGGGAAGATGAAGGTGTGGATTCAGAATCCCCAAGGTCTATACGTTCGGGAGTAGATGAAGTACTCATAATGAAAGATTGAAGAGAAAGATGCGAAACTAACCTGACAAAGCGATGGAATGAAGAACGCAGAAGTGCAGCAAGGGCAAATGTAACTCTTGCAAAATCTTGTATGACGGAGTAATAATGAAAGACCTCGAACCGTTTCTGAAGCAAAGTAAAAAACCGGTTTCAATTCCCTCTTTAATAGGAGCCGTCGCTCAATTAAAAATGAAATTTGGGGCAAAGTGTGGAGGGAAAAAAACTCCCTCCAATAAAAAGCGCACACGTCACCACTACCCATATCTACATTCCAAGGACATATAAGGCCCATCATGCTCAAGCCCAAATTGAGGGTATTTACAGCCCAAGACCATTGTTATTTGTCCTCCAACCTCCATCAAGGCCGAATCAAGAAGTCATCAGCCCAGCTTGTTAATATTTAACATCCGGCCTGTTACTCAAGCCCAGCCGGATCAAAATATGTTCAGCCCAGTTATTCAAGAATGCACAAGTCCTACCAGTTAAAGGATTTACTATAGAAGGAAAACTCTGAGATAGGAAGTTCTGTACAAGGCAAGTTCTATGTATGGAAAATTCGACAATGGAAAGAACTCTATTAGTAAAGAATGTTTATATAGAAAGAATTGGAGGGCAAGCAACGCGAGTCCTACCATAATTTTGCAATCTTTTGTATATAAATAGAGTCTAAGACCTCCAATAAAGGGATCAAGCAATTCTACGCTTCTCTATATACTGTTCTTGTTTATTTTCATTGTTTGTTGAGTGAGTTGTTTTATTTTTCTCAATCATTATTGGTTGAACAAAATTCTGCACCTCCACAGGGGGAGGAGGAAAATGATCAAAAGTGAAGGATTGCCTAACCATCTATAGCAAGAAAGACAATTTTTCATCAATAAACAAACGAATGACTATGCAAAGACTTGTAACAATTGTCACATCAGTGTAGGCATTTTAAAAGATGCCAGTGTTATGGAAGTCGGGATGGAAGGAAAAATCTTAATCAGTCACTTGTCCTGTACTTTTGCAACAAAGAGATTAAATATCAAAAATCCTGTCAGGTTAATGCTTGACCCATTGCAAATTGACGCTTGTGGGAGATTATATCACTCACAATGTCAAGGATTCAAAAATAGCCTCCTAGTTGACCCAAAACCAGACCTTATCATGCCATATAAAAAATTTAAACTTCTATCGGATAAAGTCAAACACAGAATTCTATAGGGATATTTAATAATGCAATTTAATGCCTTTAGCAGTTATAACTGTAGTCAACAATAGATAAGCGGGGAGGTTTTTGTGTTTAAAACCAATTACAAAATTTTTTTTTTTTTTTTTTTTTTTTTGATAAGTAAGAAATGCATTGAAAGCGTTCAAAAGGGGAACGCATCCCAAGAGAACAAACACAGGGCCAAAACAACCCTTTAAGCCTTCAAAGAGGCCAAGAAAACAACAATATCCTCAGAAGATCTAAAATCTCTACCCGAAACCCAAGAAAAAAGAGTGGAAAGAATAGAGAACTTAAGAAAAGAAATAGGCCTCTCCTTTCCCTCAAAATATCTTTTATTCCTCTCCAGCCAGATGCACCACCACACACAAAGAGGCTTTTTGTTTTTACAACCAATTTTGTGTTTGAATAACTCAGGAGGATAAGGAATCGAAAGAATTAATTCATGTTAATGCTTGAGAAGTAGCACTATGCCCTTCTTCATCTAAAGTAGAATATTTCGGTAGGTTAGTTATTTTCCCACCACCACAATTTCTTATAAAACTATATATGTTTACCAACTAATACATATGTTTAAAGTCATAACCCATAAGAGTGAGTTTGGCTTTAACCTCTCTCTCTCTCTCTCTCTCTCTATATATATATATATAATATATATACGTATATGTGTGTGTGTGCGCGCGCGCATATGGATATGTATATATAAACCTATTGCTTAAAAGGCATTAGTAGTAGCAATTAAAGCTTGTTGAGTTGAATTGGTATAAGTTGCCTGAAAGGTATTAATGTAACCAGTTTAACCTTAGGCAGTTATGCTTTACACAAAAATAGCAGATCTTGCCAGTATACTGATATAATCTAGAGCATATATTGTCATTTGACATACCACAACAAGCAAAGTTGTTTACCTGGCTCGGTACCACAAACACCTTTAGGCTTTCCTGTTGATCCCGATGTATACATCAAGTAACAAAATGATCTTAATTTTCTGTTTTCACATGGCCATGCTAATGGTGATGAACAAATTTTCTCCTGAAGGTTGTCTTTCATGGATATGAATAAAATAGAACAATTGCCACAATCTAAAAGCCAATTTGAGTTATCAACCTTGAGACAACAACTTCCATCAAATGAAGATTGACACCCGATTATAAGATCAACATTTGAAGAAGAAACAATGGATAGTATTCTGTCTTTTGGCCATAAAGGATCTAAAGGGATAAAAGCCTCACCGCACCGAAGAACAGAAAGAACAGCAACAACGTATTCAACAGAAGGTACCATATATATTCCCAATACTTTTGGAGTATACATATGTTGATACTCAATATAATGCTCTACATCTGGACTTGAAAACTTCAATGATTCAGACATGTCAACAGCTACTGGCTGCTCACTAGAGAAACTGCCTGCAACGAAGTCAAAATCCTTAATCCACCATGATAAATGAAACATGCCATGGCATGTCAAGTATCAAAGGAATAGCAAACATATTTGATCAACTACATCTAGTTAACTTGAGCAAAAACCAAGCCATCTTCAAGAATTACATCCACCTCAAAAAATTGAATGTGACTTAGAATATGGTGCTTGAAACATCTGATGTGTCTAAGACAATTGTGTTCAACCATTGAATGTGTCCCAACCAAAACTACAGCATTGGATAACAAACCTTCACAGAAGGTTGGTCTATTCCCTTTGCTGTTTTTCAAATTGGTAGCTGGTGTGCTGGACACTTGATCAATTTGTGTGGTAAAATTTCATTATGTGAAAAATGTGCAACATATACAATAAGAAGGGTTAAATATCGCGACTTAAGACTACCAAGTTCAGCAAGTGGATTCCTATTACATGAGATCAGATCAATGCCTCTGAACTTTATTTTATCTTTTGCCCTTTAATAATAGATTATTGAATTAAAGAGAAAGCACTAAATCAAAATCAAAGTACTCAATGACCATTTTCTTTATCAAGTAAGAATGATGCCTCATGACCTACCCATCATTACAGAAAACTGATGATCTTTACATTCACGGATACAATTTACTGAACTGTTACCACAATTTTTGACTAACATCTGATTCCACGGATTAATAATTATAAATAAGATTTCTTTGGTTAGTACAAATGGGAAAGAAAAAAAAAATGTGAACATAGATACAAATAATCTCTATGTGATTAAGGGATTAAAGATGTGCCCATAACTCACTTGACAATGCACAAAAGGCTTTAGTCCATAATTTAACTGCTTAGGGATATTGTAGAAAGATCGTATAGGAAACTGCAGCCACCACAACCTGTAGCTATTAAAGCTTCTATCACCATTAACACAATCCTTCTATAGCACACCCCAAAATGTGTAAGTATGCAACCAAATCCATTGCCTCCACAACCTTATCTTTCTCCTTTAGCCCACCAGCTTATGAACCATAACCTCATTACCGCCATCTCCACCACCACCTAATGTTAAAAATACCAAAACAGCCTAGCACCACACAACTACCACCACCATCACTCGCAACTAGCACTCATGCAATCAACTATTCATTTATGTCACACATCCGTGTGGAGGGTGATTTGCAGCATTTCAACAGTTTAAGAGAGTTTTGTATCAGAACAAAAGTTTGAATCCGGACAATAATCTACGAAATTTTGAAAGTTTAGGGATGGTTTTGTACAGTTTATCCTATTTCAAATTTAAACTATTATATGTATCAAATTTACCCTATCATCATCCTGTTGTCAAGTTTAAACACAAATATTATTCATGATATTCAAATTAAGCTAAAAATCTTTCTCATCTTCCAAAATAGAATGTCCGCAGAATAGAAGTGGTTGTGTGAATTTCTTGCCGGTAAAAAAGATTAAGTTAAAATCAGTTCAAGCTCACTTTTTTAATATTTAAGTCCAATTACCTACTTATCAAACAAAAAGTACATCAAAAATTAATAAATAAAAGGGATGCAATATTTGCACTTTCACTTTTAATATGAATGAAATTAGTATCTCACCAAATATAAGGGAATAAAGTATGAGAGGTATTTTTGTGTTTATATTAATAAGGTAAAAGAAAAGAGTGCATTTATAAAAACGATGGTGCGAGCATCACCTCCGAGAAGGAACTAACAAATAAATACAGACATATTTACGTGTGTGTGTTTAGTGTGTGTATATATAAGAGAAAGATCCTAACCGGTGGTCGGTCTGACAAGATAGGGATCATCTCCACCGTCAAGAATGTGGCGGAGACGAGAACTGAGGGAATCAACGGAGGCCAGAATTTGGGAGAAAGTGAAACACCGGTCGCCTTCGTACACCGGAGGATGAAACGCCGATCCAGTTGCGAGGTCGTCCAAGAATTTATCGTAGTTGATTTCAGAATCCCAAGTAACGTTGTCACTATAAGTTTGATTGTTGCGAAATTCTCTGGTGAATTTGAAGCCACCACAAGCATGTATAACTGCTACTTTATCGAGGTTCTTGGACGCCGCTTTGACGAACTCGTGAGATATGCAGCAACTAACAGCCATGTGTGCGGGTGCGTATGTGAGTGAGTGAGAGAGAGACAGTACTACCACCTCCCTGTGAGTTTGTTTCGATTGGAATGCTCCCATCTCCATTCCCATTTACATAAACGGTCCCCAAACCCGTTCCAAACTGGTCGAACGGGCGAGACCCGCCGGGTTCAAAATTTCTGCCATCCTAGCCTGAAGGCTTGAATAGTTTTTATAGAAAAAGCAACAAAATACTGCCGCCCCTGGGCCACTAGCTTGGGCTTGGAATTTACATTCACGGTTGGCCCGCCCGTCCCGTTCTGTTGACCAGTCAGATCCACTTGAACTTGGGCGTGAGTGCGTGACAGGAGTCCAGCCCATTGCACACACTTAGCTACTTATATTGTATTCCCTGTGTCCCAAAATACATGACCGCATTCAAAACTTACTCACTTGAACGGAAGGCTACATCATTTGACAACCCCAAAAATATAATCATTTTTAATTTCTGGGTGGATTGACAAGCTCTTGTTAATTAGTCTAGTGAATTAATGAGCTCTTATTGATTAGTCTAGTGGTATTTTTTTACATTTCAAAGCAAGAATTGCGTAATCCAATTTTTATAATTGTAGTTTGTGGCTTTGATTTATGAAGTTATTTCATGGATAACAATGTTTAGATACAAACTTTAAAATTAAAGAACAAGTCCCCGTAGAAATAAGTGGAAGTATAAGTGTTTCTAGATTTTTAAAAATAAAAATTTGTTAGAGTCGAATTGAAATTACAAAGAATTAAATAGAATGTTATCCTAATAAATTGGATGATTCTATCATTTCTATGTTATCATCAAATGCCTCGATAGTACTATGGGTTAGTACCTTTAATAAATTTTGGAATGTCAAGTTTCGACTCTCTACATCCACTAATTTAATTTCTAACACTTCTTACGTTGAAAAAAAAAAAAATTATAATTATTTGGAGTAGATTTTTAAGAATAAAATAAATTCGATAGCTGTTAACTAATTAGAATATTTATAGTTTGACGATATATATAACAAAAATACAGTCAAGTTCGATAAACAATCCACAACATCAACTAAAATGTAAAGCAAAAGCATTTGAAAGTCCAATACAAAACGTGTGTCAATGATCACAAACCAAACAGGAAAATAATTTGTGAGCAAAAGATTTGGACACAACCCGTTTGGACAAATTTTCGAGCTGACAAACAATATGAGAACCATCTGCTCCATTCTTTTTGGCATCGTCACAATCACTTAAGAACTTGCTGAATGCATCATCAACATAACTAACAGCATCTAAAACAGTCATGTTCTCCACTAGTTTCTCTGGATAAATGTCTTTTGTATGGTCCCCATTCAATACTGCAGCCATTTGTACCAGTTCTTCTTGAAACTCACTTAGTTTCGACTCTTCTTTTGCTTCTGTCTCGCGCATTTTCACAGGCTCTGGCAATGTAACTGCCCAATTCATAATTCCATGAGTACAACAAATACTCGATGAAAAATAATATTGGGAATTTGATTTGATCGGTACTTGTTATGGATTGGTACTTGTTATGGATTGATGTAACAATCATTAAAATATATACTAAAAAATAAAAGACTTTATTCTTAATCATTAGCGACAGGAGTGACACTACTGAATAGATAGAGTCTGTTGTATTCATAATATTCCATATACAAAGTTTAAAATATTTTAAGGCTCCGTCGAACCGAGTGGGGCGTGTAAAATAATTGGCAGAAAATTAATGAATAAGTTATTTTTTTTTATATTTTAATATATTTTTCTTCATAAATATTTTACGACAACTAAACACTAAAAAATAAATAAATAAATATTTTTTAAAAAATATTTTATATCCAAACAATCAGAGAATTGTGGGAAAATGTGTTTTTCCATGACATTTTTGCATAAGATGTATGAATGGTAATGAAGATAAGAATGAGTGCGTGTAAGTTTTCATATTTACCTGGACAGTCTGTTCTTGGGCTATTTCTATTCACAACAACATCAAAAGTGCCAGCCCAAGCGTCTCGCTTTGTCAAAAACTCTTTTAGATTGAAAATTTTCTTAACAGTTGCTGGAATTGAGGAATGCTCATATTGAGATGTAGGATATGGTCCTGAAGGTCCATGTAACACTGCATTTTCATCATCAATATATATATAGCTTAGTTTACTAATTACATTAATATATGCCACTGTCAACTATGCAAATATGAAATGTGACACATTTGACATACCAGTTCCGCGTTCAATCCATGGAGAAATCAATATGGCTGGGACCCTAACACCGAGGCGATCAAACTGAAAGTTGTATGGCTCAGGACCCACGATGCCATCTGGACTAGGGACTCCGGTGACTGGCGTTGGAACATGATCGTAAAAACCACCATGCTCATCGTATATGATTATGAACAACATTTCATTCCATTGAGGACTTGATCTCAGTGCTTCATAAACTTCCTTCACAAATTTCTGGCCTTCGGAGACGTCATGGGAGGGATGATCATCATTTCCTGGCAACAATTTTGTCTCGAAATATCTCTGTTCAATTACTACATAGTTTGGTAGCTTTCCTTCTTCGCAATGCCTCTTAAAGTGTAGATCAAACTGATGGAAGTTGTCTACGTATTTCAATTTTCTTAGGTTTCTAATTAAAATGGATAAAACTCAGTTAGAACATGTATAATTGACCTAAGCTAACAAATGTAGTGGAAAGTGTCATTTAATTTTCAACGTCCACAGTATGTTAACTATTAATCTTTTACAATGATTAACATTTTCCAATTTATAAGAGAATGAAAAAATGGAAAAAGAAATAAATAAATAAAAGAGCAATACAAGATATGTGAAGATTAAGAAACCAAATGCCATAAGCCTCTGATTCAAAGTCTTCTATTCAACTCCACCCTCCATCAAAAGCCTCTAGGCATGATTCAAAGTCTTGTATTCAACTCCACCCTCCGTCAAAATCTCTCTTTTATATATGTAACTTGTTTCTATACTACTTTTTCAACTTATATAATTAATCCTTGAAAAAAAAAAAAAAAAAAAACTTATTTAATTAATCATAGAAGAATTTAAAACTTTATAACACTCTCAACAATTCAGGATTAATTTGAACATAATCAAATTGTGCAGGTCAGCATTGTCAGCTGGGACCTAGACAATTTGCATGTGCAACACATGAAAAAGCATCGAAGTTGTGGCATGAACAACGACTACATAAATATATATATATATATATAACCTAATTTATAGGTGGTGCTAGAAATATTACTATCATAATCATTATTCAACTTTGAATAATAGAATATTGGACTGCACTTCCTGTTCCAGTTGAGACCCAAGATTGATTTGTAACCTTCTCTTTGAAAAAGGAAAGCACTAATAGCCAAGTGATCACGCACAAATATATCGAAAATTAAGTAATCGAATTCGAATGTCATTAGTATTATCAACTAATTAATTATATCATCAATTGGTGATATACGTACTCATGCTTTTTTTCTTTTTTTCTTTTTTTTTTTTAAGATATACACAGGGAATTAAATCATGAAAAAGTTGGAAAATAATTAACAAGAATGGGAGAAAAAAAAATAAAGGTGAATTATTACCTGAAGAAAAGTGTGGTAGGAGGGTACTGATAGTAAACCCCAAAAGAGAAACCATCTTCGTCCAACGAATCAAAAATAGTCTTTTGCGGATACCCTTCGATCAGCATTTTAGTATCGTTTTTAATGGCGCCATACGAGGTAGCAGAGTGTATATATAACCGGTTTGGTTGCGTCAACGTGGGTATGGACGCGAACCACCGGTCACACACCGCAAACTCCGACACCAACTCTTTGAAAACCGGCACAGCCTCCGGTTTGAACCCATTCATCACTATCTCCGACAGACCTTTCTCTATACTCTCTGCTTGCCGTGCAAACCCTTCCATTGTTGGAGAAAGTTGATTATTCGGAGTTGATGATGACTCGGCCAATGGCACTCCGAAGACTTGCTCGTATATTGCTTCGAAAGAGTGACCTGGGTCGGGTTCAACGTACCCGGACTGGTCACCGTATAAGAGGGGGCTTGAGTTAGATTGAGAGGTGGAAATAGGGTTGGATTCGTTCCCGGTTACACCATTGATTTCAGGGTTGATGGACTTCATCCAACCCAGCATGTGATCGAATGAGCGGTTTTCTTGGACTACAACCACCACAGTTTTGATGGGGTGTGAGTTAGTACCTTCATTTGCCATATCTTGTTAGTATTCTTTTGGTGATTTTTACAGAGAGAGAGAGAGAGAGAGAGAGAGAAGAGGAGGAGGAGGAGGAGGGATCTAAGGAATTGAGGAAAGTGGAAATGAACTTTTCTTTTTTTCTTCTTTGGAGTGGGTGGGGAAGCATTTCTAACATCCAATATTCTGTGCCACCTTGCGCTTAGAATACAAGTATAAATAATAGATGTGCAATGAATGATGAATTATGAGGTACAATATGTGACCGACGCTACAGATAAATTATATTTTAATTCAATCCATATAGATGGGCGATAGTGGGATTGTGTTACCTTATTATATTAAATATTAAATTAAATGATGTTCGAGTTATATATAAACAACTGTCTTTATATATATATATAATACTATCATCAACAATATTTAATCACACGGATAACCAACTCTCTTTATTTAAAAGGTAAATTACAGCAACATCTTTGAAATTTGTCAAAATGATACACAGATATTTTGGGATAAAGACATCCCTCAAGTTTAATCCAATTAATGAATTAATATTTTTGCCTTTCGACTTTTATATTAACCAATTTGAATATTGAAATGACCTTTCTAACCTCTATGTGAAGATCTATACCCATTTCTTTCCTTCTTTATGTTCCCTCTTCCTCCTCACTGCGAGAAATTATTAAATGATCTCGGTCTATTTGACACTTGGTGGACTAATTTAATGTAAACCCTTCGATCATAAAATTTCATATTCATTAATACACTCTTGTGGGATCATTTTCTCAATCTGAGAGCCTGTATTTAAGTGGTCTACCAAGTGTTAATGAACCAAAATTATCTAATAATTTCTTCATCGCTGCCCCCAACACCAACCGCCCCTTTTTCCACGACATTACCGGCGCTAATTCCACGACATTACCGGCGCTAATTCCACCAAACTACTTCTTCATCCTTTCATCTTTCATTTTCATATATATATACATACACACACATATATACATATATATACAGATACATACATATATATATCCACACACACACACAAGGCGGCGGCGACGGCGAGTTGTCATCAAGGATAATTTTATATATATATATATATATACCCACACAAACACGAGCGGCGACGACGACATTGCAGTAGAGGCGGCGGCGGTGGTTATAGTTCCGCCGTCCTCTAAGCTCACCACGCCGCCGAGGAGCTCGCCGCCATCACCACCGCTTAGAAATGAGCAACATAGTTACAGTAGGGATTCACAGAAGAATGGAACGGGTTATAGAAGAAATGAAAGATTAGAGTGAGAGAGAGATGGTTTGTGCTTGCGATTGTCGCTGAAATAAACAGAGGGCGGGCGCAATTGTGTCTTTTTACTATATCTAATATTTTATAATAAATCTGGTTTTAATATTAAGGAATAATTTTGCCCTTCTAAAAAGATTTCAGACCTTATTTGGTTGAAATTTCATCTAAGGAGTGTTTTGTTCCAAAATAAAGTAAGTTGCACATGTAAATCCATTTGACAAAGTTGTTGTACTTTACACTTATTTAAAAGAGGTCTCGCCACTTGCAATAGAACTTGTCCAAGCGAGCCTACTAACTCCGTCATGTTATAACAATAAAAATGGGATGCCCCCACTGATGATAAACATGAATTAATTGTACCTAAACTATGAACTAATCACTTTTGAATTGATTACAGAAATACTGTCAGATGAGCAAACTTTGTTTAATTTTCACTCAAACAGGGGAAATACTTTGTTTAATTTAAAGAGGCCCTTCAAACTTCCAACCTTTGATCAAGTACATGCCTCCTAGCTAGTCAAATTCAAATAATTACATGTTGCAGTAATTGTATAAATTAATGAAAGCCTACCAATTTATGAGTACCAGATTAAAAAATATATATATCAAACAGATTATTGGTAACATTTCAGTATGTTAAAGAACCTAGCCATGACAAATATTAACAAAAAAACAGTCGTAACAAAATTGCAAAACTCACTAAAATTAGCTAATCTTGATCATGAATCCATGATATGGTGACATTAATGAAGTCGTGAGAATTATACCCTGGTAAACTATAATCAGATTTAATTAAATAATTAAGCCTGCTCGCCTAAACCAAGGGCATAGATCCAAAACAGCCTCCAAAGAGTCAAAATTGCCTATACAATAATGAGTAATGATACATATATAATCCAACAGTAAACACATCCGAATGAAATTTATGTGAGTAAGTGATGATGTCATAATGAAATCATCATATCTAATGATGATAAAACAGTCAAATAAAATCCCATATCCGAACTAGTTATCATTATTCAACACACAAAATGCTAATGATGCTTGCATGGCACTTTAACAGCTAAACACCAAAGAATATAGATTAGTAGATGGCATGATTAATATAGGAGTTGAAGTACCTGTAAAAAAGGGTAGTTGGAGGGTACTGATAGTAGATCCCAAAAGACAAACCAACCTCATCCAATGAATCAAATATAGTGTTCTGGGGATACCCTTGAATCAGCATCTCAGTGTCATTACTCATTGCACCATGAGAGGTAGCCGAGTGCACGTACAGCCGGTTTGGCTGAGTAGAAGCCGGAAGTGATGCAAACCACCTGTCACACACTGCAAACTCCGACACCAGCTGCTTGTAAACCGGCACAGCATCCGGTTTGAACCCATTCATCACTATGTCCACCATTCCTTTCCCCGTGCTTTCTGCTTGCTGAGCAAACCCTTCCATGGTAGGAACCAGAAGCTGGTTCGAAGACGATGCTTGGCTCCATGCCACGCCAAATATTTGCTCGTATATGGCTTGGAATGAGTGGCCAGGGTCAGGAGCCACGTATGTGGCCCGGTCACCATAGGTAACGCGATTTGTGTCGGAATTGGAGGTGGACAGAGGGTTGGATTCGCTTCCGGTAACGCCATTGATTTCAGGGTTGAGGAACCTCATCCAACCTAGCATGTGATCAAATGATCTGTTTTCTTGGACTAGAACTACCACTGTTTTGATGGGATAAGCATTTTTAGCATCTGAAGCCATTTTGGATGGATATGTTGAACTATGATGGGTTGGGATGATTTTAATGGCTTCTTGAGAGAGAGCCGACAACAAGGAAAGTTGGATAGAAACACAATATTTTCAAACAGTAGTTTTTTCAAACTTATGATCATAATTTGAAGGACCTACACGCATGATTAGATATATATATATTGTATACAGGTAGTCCACATTTTCTACTTTGGCATTTTAGTAAGCTGTCATAGGTTATGAATTAATATGGTCCACATCAGGAAATTGCATTGAAGTTTCTTTGAGAATAATAGATGGGTAAGGTACCGTCTGGTCTTCATAAAGGACTTGAATTTTACTCCCATTATTAGGGATGTTTTGGATCTCCTACACTAACTTCTTCTTCGTTTTTTTTTTTTTTTTTTTTTTTCCGTAGCATTCCAAAAGGATCAAATTTCAGTGATCTGTGAAAAGTGTTGCACAAAAAGGAAGAAGAAGAAGAAATTTCCATGGCAAGTAACAAAAAAAATAAGAATATGGTAAAAATTGAGCTCTCTTAATAACTTACCTAACTTGGAACCACAACCATTATAAATCAAAAGTCAAATTTCAACTCATGCTTGCTTTTTTTAATTTATGGGCGACAAAGACAGTCAATTAGTATATTTGATTTTGGTACCCTCCACCACTACCGTCATCTTTCACCACCAACACCTGTCACCGCCTTCCACCATCATCACTTACATCACTGACACCTTCCACCACCGCCACTACCAGTGCCTTCTACCAACACTATGTTGCCTTCCGCCACCACCACCTTCTAACACCACCTACACAACTTCTCCTTTCCACCTCCACCATCAACCACCAACACCATTTCTTTTTTTAAAAAATTAAATAAAGTTATTTTGTCAATTAAAATTATTTATCGCTGTTCGGCTCCTAAAAACCGAGATTCCACTTTCCAAGTGAGTAAAAAGTAAGAGTGGATGTCAGGCGTGCCAGGAACTGCTATCGTTCCAAAGTGAGTATCTGAACAACTATCCAGTAAGAGATTGTAAGGATCAGGCGATTGTATGAAGGATTGGAATTACCACATTCAAAGGTTCTTTTTGCCTTGAAAAAAGACTTTTGGATTGAACTATGGCTAGTGGAAAGGAAAGCGGTATTGAAAGTGCAGGACTTCAAATTGAAGTGCTGGAAAGTAAGAATAATAAGTGCAGTACTTGAATTAAACATATTGAAAGTGCATTACATGAATGTAAAGAAATTGAAGTGCTGTTGGGTGGTGTGATTTAAACAGGGTTTGCAAACTAGCTCTAAGTGCTCTATTTATAGAGTTTTACATGCATGCAGCAGCTTGATGTGACAACTCCAGCGATTTGCACGTGGCCATATTCTGGCCTATCAAGTGTCCCATGTTCTCTTGGCAGTTATAACTTCTTCCTTCCATCTTTTCCCTTCTCTGTTGCAAACTTCAGCCATGCTCTCCACGATCTCAGTTTATGGATAGTTCTCGCAAAATATTTTCCACTTGATTTCTCCACAAGTTTACACGTGTCCCACATCTCCATGCTCTTCTTCTCCCTGCCGTAAATATCTCTTCCTTCGGACACGAATTAAGTAGACTTGTCCTCCATGCTTTACGACAACTTCCCTTCAGTTGGTAGTAACAGTTGTATAAAATACCACTGACGTGTCCCTATTTGGCCAAGTGTCCCATGATTATTACAATCTCTTCCTTCCATAGAATCCTTCTTCTCCTCTAACTCATGTAGGTAAGAATTATCACAGACCCACGTTTCCATATTTAACTGAACTTTTCTACTTCTTTAGCATCTTCTTCATCATGGACGTCATGGCGTCGTGGTTACTTTTCATTCTTTCACTAACCCTAAATCGTGGGTTACGATTATAGCACACTTCCTTGATTTTAGTTTTTATCATGAGTTGTTCCTTCCATGAATAGATATATCATCCTCCATTTTGGATAATCACGTCTCCTTAATTTTAGCATCTTTCCTTCAGCTTTGCCTCATTTAGAACCCATGATACCATAGATTCCTCCCTCACAGCAGTTACTTCATCATGGGCCAAATCTGATATATATATATATATATATATATATATAAATTAAACTTCCACATCTCCTCCCTTTTAGCAACATTATTTGACTTGGCTAAATAAAGTCTCCTAAAAATAAGGGGAAAATCAACCCCGCGCTCTCCTTCTTTGGTTGGACCAACTTTGGTCTTTCATCTTTAATAAATCTCTATTTTATTAAAACCACAATAATAACTTTAACAAAATTATTATGCTATGGTCAAGACTATGGTAAGCTCAGTGGAACTCGTCATGTGAGTAAAATTCATGGTAAGCTCAGTGGAACTCGTCATGTGAGTAAAATTCATTTGGCATAAGAGAGTGTGAGCCCTCGCTTTTTTAAAGATGGCAAGTCCTAATTGGACTGCCTCTTTCCTTTTATCAAGAATAGAAACAAAAAACTATACAGGAAAACTGGCCCACTTAAAATACTATATAGCTTCTAGTAACAATTCATAAGAATTGTAATTTAGCGTGGTAAGTTCTATTGGAACTCAACATTTACTTCTCCCCTATTAGTAAATAACACCCGATCAAACTTTAACAATTCCAAATTATGCTCCCTCTTTTTGAAACTTCAAAGAATTAATCCAATGTAGCAAGTTCATTGAAACTCACCACATGTCGCCTTTTCATTAGGCCAAAAAATAATGGAGTAAACAATCACTAATATAAATATATAGAAAATTTCAATTTGAAATTCATTTTTTTTCTAAATTTTACTTGGCCCATTCCTATAAATTTCATATTTGCAACCAAACAATAGAATGACCATTTCATTCCATTTACTTACATTCCACCAAAAGCCAAAAGCAACATCAGCGTAAATTCATAAATATGAATGCAATTCACAGTGGTTCAGGTATGAATATACAGGTTCCCTTAACATAATAAACACGGCAGAATTATTAGGCAGAATTATACCACCCACATAACCAGAAACCCGACGCGACATTAACACGACTAGAAAATTGACACATCACATGCTAACAGCGCTCGTCAATACTTGACACGATACCACTGAAAAAAAAAATCAACGCCAGTATAGCATGAGCCTAAGGATAATGGTAGTCATAACAGAATAAAATATTTGTTCAGTGTATTAAGATTTAATTTCTTTAAGCATTGTGATTAGTACTACTGAATTACCAAGCCGAAAAAACAATGTAGGCGCAATTAACTAAAAAAAATCATGGGATACCAAAATAACCAAAGATAAACATTAGTATTTTTGATTAGTCACAACAGACACAGATATTGCAGATTAATTATCCACAAAGAAAATATAACTGAAATCTATAGCTAATGCATGCTTGGCGATACATGGTCTAGTTATGACTTCCTCTATGATAATAACATACAACAAAGAAGTAAAACTAGGACGACTGTCTTTTAATTGATTAAAAATAATATACAAAACTTATTATAGATTTATTGTTTTTCCTCTTTTTCATTTTCTACAAAGAATGTATAATGCTATAAACTTTGTGCCTAACTGAAGAGGGTTTATGCTTTTCCTTTTCTTTTTTCATCCAAAGCCTGCACATAAAAGCATTTGAATGTTATTGAGCATGATTATAGACTCAAGTAAAAAGATGTCATACAACATGAGAATGAAACCAAATATGATGAAAGATTTATTTGTATTAAACTAAACCAAAATATATAGTTTTAAAACACAACAAAATGAAACATAAGTGGATTAAAATTTTCAAAATATATCTACCAAATTTGATCAAATCTACCTAGTTCCCATCTCTACTAAATGACACAGTATACTATAGTTTACTAAAATAATGGGTAAATATACTGAATATTTAATTGCATTATCTAAACCAAGAAAACATCGAACAAAACAAAAAAATATATATATGGAAGCTAGAAAGTATATCGACCTAATCTAATTGAATCCACCAACTTACTAATCTAATTCAATCTAGCTACCTCTTTAAGTAACACAAAATACACTAGTTTACTGAAATACTGGTGGGACAACCCCATATGTCCACATATTTTTTCTCTCACAAGAGGAGGTATCCACATATTCTAACATAAGAAGTCAGTAACAATAAATACACCAAAAAAAAGTCTTCGATTCTGATATGAATCATAGGATCAACTAAAGATCAACAACGTGGCCTAATGAGATAAGAACTCACCATTGTAGTTAGTTTAGTCAAAATTATTAACTAGTCTGATCCTAAATATACAGACATGTGAATAAATAGAGAGAGAAATGTGCGCAAAGGCCCTCTAAAAACCATCAAATGAGCACAGCCAGGACACAACCAGGAAAAAAAAAAAAAGTGGCTTTACTTAATATTCGGAAGGATTGCCTAAAAAAAGAGTTGATCTACATTTATCACTTCAACAATTAGAAGCAAATATGCCAACAACGAGAACTAGACAAGTGAAAAAAACACTGAATTCGGCATCCCCAAACCTGCACGTTCAGTTTTCTACCTTAGGGTTCGTTTGGTTAGTGTCAAGTAACCAGAAAAGAAAAGGAAAGGAAAAGATTTTAATTTTAATGAAGTTTGGTTAGAGGGAAAGTGAAAGTTTTGGGGAAAAAAGGATTCCCGCATCTAAAAATTTTTCGTGCATAAAAGACGCACAAATTGTGCACTTCATATATTACTTTCCTATTATACCCATGTCAGTTGTCTCAATTCATTCTTCTTCTCTGAACATCATTGAAAAGATGAGTTTCATTCTTCTATAAATTGCTTGTTTATACAATCATGTATTACAAATTTAATTATTTGTATTTTTATGTGTGCATCCAAATTTAATTTATTTTTTCCTTTCCTTATTAAATTATTTTTTCACTTTTTTCTTTTTCTTTTTCGAAAGGTCTGAAGTTAGTAAAATATTTGTTCTCATAATTGATAATGATTAAGAGTTGTTATATATATACATAATTATTTGTTGATAAGAGTGTTGGGTGAAAACTGGGTTAGTGTTGGGATTCTTGGTCAACGATTTGAAACTCACCTATCATCAATCTCTCACTTTGATTTGTTTCACAACTCAACATCTATTCATATATGTGGTATCATAGTCCTCTCTGTGTGGTCAAACCAGAGCCAAAACTCTTAACTTGAATCCTAGAGCAAGTTGCTCTAAAATATATTAGATTAAGCTGGGACCAAAGCTTACTTTTTTTTTTTTGTACAAGCAGAAACTATAGTCCTGCCTTTCTAAGAATATGTGTTAGTTTTTATATTGATGAAGCATTTTTAGAAGTAAAAGCATTATAAGAATTTAAACAAAAAACTTTGTATGAATCTTCTTTATCTTCTACTTTTTTGGCCCATCGACTCGTGACATTAAAAATTCAGTTTATCAAAAAGTTTATTTTTCTCACCTTAAAAACATAATAATAATAATAAAGAAAAATAAATAATAAATAATAATAATAAAACTAACATAAGGAGAAAACGAATATTTGAATCCACATAGGGACAAGTGAATATATATATATATATATATATACACACACACACTATTCTATTCCATATTTTCACTATTTCCTTACTAAAATAAATAATTAAGAATAAACAATATTCATCTAACATAAATTTATTTATTTCTTTACTATTTGAATTTATATGGGTATTTTTGGTAAGTAGAATCATTTTCTTTTCCTTTTGATGCTATCCAAACTAACAAAATAAAATTTTCTCACAACTTTCTCCAAAATATTTCTTGCTAACCAAATGCATGATGGAAACTTGATTTTTCTTTCTTTCACTTCACTTTCTTTCACTTTCAATAAAATTTTCAGCCTAACCAAACAGAGCCTTAGTGAAAAAGACAATCCAAATCTACTTGGGAAACTTCCAGACTACCCCAATATAAGATGTACAGAAAGAGAAGTACGATACATGCAAAGGCAAATTATAATGACTAGCATTTTTGCATTTTTTATCCATCTATTTTTTCTCTGTGTTCACCATATCTGCAACATACATAGTACATAACTTTTTATGAAATGCAGTCTACTTAAACATGTTATGTCATATACTACATCATAATTAACCCTATGTCAACATTCTACCCCTCATACTAACGACTTGCAATTTTTAACCATATGTGGTTCTCGGAAGAAACAATAAAAAGAAAAGGGAAAAGCTAACACTGGAGAACCAATGAAGTGTAAGGAATGTGTTCTCTTCGACATTGTTTTCTTAATCAACAATATTTTTCATCACCTTACATTCCACAAAACATATTTAATCTCATAAGAGATTGACGAACAAATCAGTTGATGACATCTAAGAAGTACTGATATCGACAGGATCTTATGACCGCAACTCAAGATTTACAATCGAATAATGGGAAAAATTCAAATTTTCAAGCATATTGTGGGGTGGTAGTTCGTGTTCAAGTGATAGCTGTAGCAAATAATTGATTGTAAATAATAAACAGCTAGAAACACAGACAGCAGAAGCATCGCACATATATCAATAGATTTTGAAGGAAATAGTACCTTGCTTTGGAACATTCTCATGGTCAAAACGAGAGTATCACGCATTCTGCAGAAGAAAAGGGCTTGCATCAGATCAGACATCACTGAGTTCTTGTGCTTCCATTACTTTTTGTACCATAAAATGCAATAACTTTAACATGATAACATCTACTTACCATGTAAAGAAAGTTAAATGATGTATTTGGCACCAGATATGTGCTAATATGATTTCGAAAATGACAAAGCTTAACTAATATTTTATTAGAAACAAAATTAAACAATTAGTGAAGAATAATTTTCCATAGAAGATAAATAGTTCAATTATAGATTTAAAATCTGCAATGGCCAGAATAAAGTTCCATGACAAAAGAAATCATTTTTTATACTTACTAAAATGAAAGGAAGGTCAATCAAATAATCATTATTTGAATGCATATCCACAATCATTTGGAACATTACTCAATTGCCTTCAATTCAAAAACTTAAGAAAGAAAAGAAAGGAACACATTGTCAGAAACAGGATAGATTGTTGGATCGTTATCCAAGGCTCTAATTAAATTGTGGGCAGTAAATTAGACCTAGATGGGGGTGAATAGGTCTTATGGATATTAATTTACAGCTTTTGAATTACCGTCAATCCTTGTTAAAGATTCAGCTAATTAGTTTGATTACGTGTCTAAATTTCAATCACATAAACATATAAAGCAATAAATAAAATAAAGCAGAGAAAAAATATTTTTTACATGAAAACTCTAAACAGGGAAAAAAAAAAAAAAAAAAAAAAAAAAAAAACCCATCAAACCTAGTCCTGGGAGATCAAAATCCACTATGTGAGAAAGAGGTTACAGACCAAGTTACCAGACTCTAAACCAAGAATCACCTAGTCTCTCCCTGACTCAAACTTGCACAAAAATCTCCAAAACCCTCTATTCTCTTGATCCATTTCAAACTCGTTCCTCGCGTAATTTGCTTCTAAATGGAATTTCAACCTCCACAACTCGTGACTTTCGATCAACTTGTTCTTTGCAGAACCACTTGGTTGATACTCCAATGGATAACTTCAATTTTGTTTCTTCCTTCGATTCTCTCAATCACCTACACTATGGTAGTCTATGAAGAACTCTAGATTGATTCTCAAGGCTTCCTCTCTAAAAAAATATAAATTCTCTCAATAATATGTCAAGAGTTAAAAGACCATTAACCCATATTTAGAGCCAATATAGAAGAAACATGTAGAATGACAAGTATAATCGTTTTAGAATTCTAATTTGAGAGAATTTCCATAAAAATATGTCCGCATGGTTCAATTGGTCGAGCCTTCAATGGAGCACCACTGGACAAGCTTTTAATCAATCAAGGCACTCTCGACTTCTAAACAATTTTCTGCAAAATCTCGACCAATTGACCATTCAATTGATGCTCACTATTCTGCAAATCCTTAATTTTGAAAATCATTTTACCAAAAACCCCAATTTTGATAAACAAGATTAAAACATAATTTTGAACCTTTTAAAAATCATAACTAGGTCGTAACTGGTCTCAACTTACTTTAACCTAGATATGTGATAGAGGTGTGGGAAATATGCAGCACATTTCCATGATCCTTCAACAGTTGTAGACAACCAACTCTTAACACATTGATACACTACAATCCAAATAGGTAAAAGTCCGTGCAAAATAATATATTGGAAACAGCCAACACTTTCCCTATACCACAGATTGGGAAAATGAAGGAGAGAACATGGCTGAAGAAATGAAAATGTTGTATGATCAAATCAGGTTGAAAATTGAAGGGTCAAATGCTAAGTATTAGGAGAATGCAGATAAGGAAAGATGCAGGAAAGCTTTCAAGGAATGGAAATGGTAAAGATTTATCCAAGGGAGGAAAGATTTCCAGCTGGTAATTAATCCAAACTTAGCAAAAAGAATAATTTTTTTTTCTACAAATTATAGCAAAATGGAGGTTGGATCTCACAGAATTATCAAGATCTGCGAAAAAGCCTATAGAATTGATTTGCACAACATTTGGGTACTGATTCTGCATTTAATGTTACACGTTTGTATCCATACCATAATGGCAATGAAGAAAGAATTGCTGCTCAGCACGTTAACTCAAGGACGAGTTTCTTGGAAAGTGTGTTGTCAAAGTTTATTGAATAGGAATTATAATATGGGAAGTGAACATTTCACGCTGTTGAAATATACAAATATTTATATATAATTGTGGAGTAAAATCCTCCACCAATCATGGTGATCCGGTCAATTTCCTTCCAATTATAAATAATTCTATATAACGGTGAAGTAAAATCCTCCACCACTCATGGTGTCTCCTTTGACTATTATACGCTTTCTATATTTTCTTATCTTTATCGTGCCTATATATAGGCTCTTTGTACTCGAGCAAAAATATCTGAATAACAAAAATGTAGCCCTTAGTGACTCTTTGTCCATGGATGTAGGCCTTAGTACCGAACCATGTATATGCCCGTGTTCTCCATCTTTCTCTCTTCCCTTTTCCTATTTGTATTTCTTATTTCCACATCCAAAATTTAACACGATATCAGAGCCAAGTTGTTCTTGTAATCCCATCTAGAATTTGAGGGGGAGTATTGGTATTATTATTATAGAGCATATTCTCCATGTCTTCACATTCCTTTCCCTTCCGGTCCCTTTTTTGGATGGTTCCACACCTCGGCATTCCCCGATGTTGTTCCGGGCCATTTCCCGGCCGTTTCCCGGCTTAGTTTCGGCTATTTCCCGACGTTGTTCCGGCTTTCCCCAATGTTGTTCTGGCCCATTTCACGGCTAAGTTCTGGCCATTTCCCGGCTAAGTTCCGGCCATTTTCCCAACGAGTTCCAATTTATTTTTCCCGGCAAAATCTGGTCATTTTCCCCAACAAGATCTGGTCAATTTCCTGGCTTTGTTCCGGACACCTTCTTATCATCTTTCAAGGCGTTTCTTTAGCAAGTTAGGCATTCATGATATTCATGCTTCAACTTGAGGGGGAGTGTTGAAATATATAAATATTTCTATATAATTGTGTAGCAAAATCCTCCACTAATCATGGTGATCCGATCAATTTCCTTCTAATTATAAATATTTCTATATAATAGTGGAGCAAAATCCTCCACCAATCATGGTGTCTCCTTTGACTATTGTACACTTTCTATATTTTCTTATCTTTACCGTGCCTATATATAGGCTCTTTGTACTCAAGCAAAAAATATCTGAATAATAAAAATATAACCCTTAGTGGCTCTTTGTCTATGGATGTAGGTCTTAGTGCCGAACCATGTATATGCCCGTGTTCTTCATCTCTCTCTCTTCCCTTTTCCTATTTGTATTTCTTATTTCCGCATCCAAAATTTAACACACACAGATATCAAAATTGTTATTAATGCTATATGGGAAGCTTAAAAGTATGTCTAAAAAAAGTCAAGTGTCATTAATAGTTGTATTACCGAAGAGTCTTTTTATCTACTGTAAGAATTTTTCGTCAATATAATTTCAGTATGTTATAAGTTTGATAATGTTGGGACAGTGGAAGCGCACGAAAACAAAGATCCAATGAAAGCCAACAAAACAATCACACAGAAACACAAGATATAATGTGGTTCGACCAAAATCAGTCAACATCCATAGATGGGAAGAGATTACACTATGATTTTCGTAGAGATGTTACAACAAAAGACACCATGTAGGCATGTATCACTCCACGAGCGTATCTCCTTGCTACCAGGTGGTTTTTCTACTCTACCAACCCGTAAACTATCTCTACCCATCAACTCCCTTATGAGACTATATCTCTCCCAATCTCATAAGTCTCAACCCATAACCAAGGTACCAATTTATAGAGTTCCAAACCCAATTCCTTGTTAAATAAGGATTACAATTCCTTGAAGCCAAACTTGCCAATCAAGAAATTACATAATAAGATACAACTCTAAAATAGAAACCTAATTAAAATAGGAATTTGAGACACAATTTCCAACAAGCTCCACCTTGGTTCAAATTCCATTCAGCCAATCATCACTTTCTACGGCATTGATCATGACAATTCATTAAGGTTCAATCTTGACAATCATCTTGCAAAACTCTGATTGTCTCCACTATACGCTGCTCGATCAATAAAACCCTAAAGGCTCCACCTTGACTACTTGAGCTCCATGCCATGTAACCCATCACGATTTTTAACCGTGATGATCAAATAAGCCGATTGACTCCACCTGCAACTAAAACCCGTTGTTGCAACTCTTGAAAGTCCTTGTGTTTCTGGATCTCCTTCTCCTTTAGCTCTTATACCAATTTGTTGTGGCAGCAAAAGCGCGCGAAAACAACAAGATGCAAAGAAAGCCAACAATCAATCACACACAAACACAAGATATACGTGGTTAAGCTAAAACACACTTACATCCACAGATGAGAAGGGATTCCACTATGATTCATAGAGAAATTACAACAATAGAGTACCAAAACCGCGTACATGTCTTTTCACCATATGCCACTCCACGAGCCTATCTCCTTGGTACCAATGCCAACGACAGTTTTCCTACTCTACCAACTCATAAACTACCTCTACCCATCAACTCCCTCATGAGACTACACCTCTTTGAATCTTATACGTCTCAACCCACAACCTGGGTATCTATTTATAGAGTTTTAAACCCAATTCCTTGTTTAACAAGGATTACAATTCCAGCCCAAGACTTGCTTAATAAGAAATTTCTTAACATAATACAACTCTAAAATAGAAACCTAATTAAAATAGGAATTTGAGACACAATTTCCAACAGATAACTATTTCTCATTTTCCTGGATCTCTTCCAAATCTAGGCTCCTACAGCATTTTGAGCAACTCTGGTTTTTCTTACCTTTTCTTATTTCAGATTACTGTAACTGAATTATTACACTCTGTATTTGCTGCATTACCCGTGTTAGGTCCCCTTTAGTCAAAATGTTGGGAAAGTACATTCCTAACTTTTGGCATTTGCCTTCAAATTCAAAATGCATTCTCGCACTTGACAACCTGAGCTTTTACTGCTGCACCATGCAATGACCCTATGCTAAGAAATCAAATTGATAAAAATCCTTTTCCTCTTATATTTTTCAGCTCTTAATCTTGTGTTCTTGTTCTTTCCAACTGACAAAACAAATAGACTTGTCAATGTATTGCATCTGTACTCCACAATCATGGCATATTAATGGGAGAAGACAAACACAATAAAAGAATAATGTTTTATTTCTTCAGAGGACATGCACATTCCTATACATTGAGTTTACTGCCAGCGGAGATAATGAGTTCCTGATAGATCTCTAACACAATATTTAAATATCAGAGAGAATGGGAAAGTTTAACTTCACAACTAGTCAACAAACAACATAATAAATAAGAATAAATGTAATTAAAAAAAAAAAAACTAATAGATGAAATCAATATATTACCGGACATCATTATTTGTGCTAAAAGGAAGCGAAGAACCATCTGAACATGCTAATACAAATTGTGATGAGGGCCCCCAAGGAATTTTGATCTGCAAGAAAAACATATCAGAGAACATTACAAAATATATTGCATTCGGTGGTGGGGCATTTTCCTGAAATATTTTTTATCAATTCTTTAGCAATCACATGAGTATGTTAATGGATTGAATCCCATACACAACTCAACCACATAGCTGTGTGATTCACCCTATATGTTAGCTGTCACAAGTTTCATAATTAAACTATCTTTTAAATAGTCGAACTAATTGGCCAGCTCTGTAAAGAATCATTCTCATTCAATTATATCATGTATAATGATAATTTTAGTGATCTTGCCTGTGAAAGGATGGATAAAAGTAATTGCTAATAGGTAGCTATATACATAATGATAAATTTCAAACGTTAAAAATCCACAATACGACAATTTTTGACAATTAAAAACCATGAATACAAATTTATATTTTTCGATAAGTAATACAATTGTATATTACTAAACATATAAATATGGCTCGATCATGCTCTAGACAGATCTGTGTAAGTTGACCTGTATGAATTTCTAAAATATCATTGCATTTTGAATTATAATTATTTTGCTTCCTAACTTATTGGATCAATATATCTAAACAAAGTATTCAGAGTTTCTCCTTTTCTTTTCAAAGGAATGCAAATAAAAAATAAAAAATTAAAATAAAATTAAAAAAAAAAGAAAGAAAAAAGGAACATACCAACAAGTCCTTTGAAAATTTCTCCGCCTTGAAAACAGCCTGTGTTCTATTGACCTTAATTTGATAGTTTGATCGTCTCAAAATGAGAGTTGCTAGCTCCCAACTATCAGAAGAATCCACCTGTTGAATATTCCATGGAAAAAAATCCCATTTTTTCATACCAGAAATTGCTCAAAATACATTGTTCTTGATCTTCTCTAAAGCTGAATAAAATTTATATTATCACGCGGCTGTTTGTCTTTTGTCCAATACACAAAATTTATCCCTTTTGAACTCGTAAATTTGTTTATGTCTCTCCAAGGTTTTTTTTTTTTTTTAAGTACATTTTCTGGCACCCAAATCAACCAAGAAATTGGAATTGCTTAAGTGTTCGCACCTGGATATAGGATAGGAAAGTGGACAACTTGGATATGAGCCTAAAAACTACAGCAACAGAATTGGTATTAACATTAATAATTCATGTACCTATATGGAGTTTCTTCATAACTTAGTTCAAGATATCATCCGAACAGTGTACTAGAATTATTGAAGCACTCCTATAAACTAGCATTTGAAATTCCAAATTATACTTAGGCAACAGATATGACACTCTACATGCAAAAGAGAATGTAAAACATATTATCACTTTTTCTGCTATCAAGGAATGAATGGTTAAACAACCAACAGGCCCTTTGCCTGGATGGTATAAAATCCTCCTCCGGAATGGGAGGACGTGGGTTCAAGCCCCAAGTGGGGCAAAATGGGTGTGTACATTGCTACTCTTAACAAAAAAATAAATATGAATGATAAAGCTAAATCAAACCTACCAGGAGTTGCACATTAAATGTGGCTTGTCCTTTAGAAATATGTGTCTCAATCTCCAATTGCATATCTGGATCTGCAAAATACAGTAGTGCTCAACAGAAAATTTTGCATATAAAATAATATGAAAGAGAGAGGAAATAAAAAAAAAAAAAAATTTCCTTGGAACTCAAAAGAATACAATGCCAGACATGTAATGCAAAATAAAGGATCCACATCTTCGCTGACATGTCAATAGAACTTCCATTGTAAACAAAATTTAGGAATGAAATTGGAACAACTATTACGATGAAAGGGACCCACAGAAGCATTGCTTTACAATTACTTCATGCAACTATTCCCATCCTTCCTATCATACTTTCACATCCAAGGTTTACAAGTGAAACTATAAGGATCATAGAATTCTTAGTCTCGAGGAGCATTTGTCTGATGTTTTTCAGGTTTGCTCACCCAGTTTGCTTTTTATCTCATATCCCATATGTCCATCCTCTCGTTAACTTGGTCATGACACAACCAGTGGAATTGATCATGTGGAATAACTACCACCAAAGCCTATAGCCTGGTGGTACTTTCTCACCCTCCAAAGTGGAAGGTCGAGGGTTCAAGTCCCTATAGGGGCATGTGTTATTTACCAGAATAATATATATATATATATATATTTGGAATAGCTATTGAAGGTTTTGGGATTTCCAAGGATTCGTTAGGTTTTACCATCATTTACTATCCAAATAGACTTACCACATGATATTTTGTTCTGATCATTTGCAAAAAGTCTGACTAGTTCCCCCTGACAACAAGAAGCATATTAGCACAAAGATACAGGAAAACTATCTCCATAAACCAAATACAAAGAAGAATCAAAGTTGCCCAAATGTAAATATCTTAATCTTCTAGAGAGTCAAAGTGACAAACATATTGTCATATGGAAATTTGTATGCTCATTGGTACGATATAAAATGTGGTAATACATTACGAGAAAAACCTATCACAGACTCCAACAAGATTTAAGACTTAAATTTATCCTCACTTCTCTCAACTCTTTGATCATCTCTCATTTATTTCCCTTCCACCTTGAATGAAACCCAACTTCTCCACATACAATGGGAGGAATTGATCTTCTCCAGTAATTAAGAATTATCTAAATATCCTAACTCCGAGACCCTCCAAGTGCAAAGAGGTACACGGGATGCTTGATAGTGTCTGAACATCCTATCCAACTCAAAGACATCCCCTCCCCACAAAATGCAAAAAAGGGATAATAAGTTTCTTTACTCCTATATAACCCATACTCTTTTACATTATTATAATTTTTACCATCCTTCAGTTGCACTTTTGGCATAATCCATTATTATAAAAAGTAGACATAAGACTCATCAAAAAAAAAAATAAGAAGTAGACATAAGAGAGCTTTTACATTCTAATAATTTCACTTTCCTTTGGTTTCATTATAGGGATATTATATATTAACAAATGTAGGCATAAGAGAGAAAAAATCAAACTAAATCACCAATTCCAGTGAAGTGGCACATCAATATTTATGGGACCTTTTCTGCACAAGAAAGCACATTGAGAACCAACCTCAAAGATAGTAAATTAATTGTTTTGGGTGGCATTAAAATAAGGACGGTTATAATTTTCTATAAATGGGTTTGATATGATTAGATGATACCTGCAAAACTATCATACAGATGCAATTCTCCAAAAAGAAATTGCTTAAGTTTCAACTACTATTCAACGTTCAACTCATAATGACTTTTCAGATCCATTAAAAATAATAATTTTTGTGGAATTAATATTATTTTATTAAATGATGGTAACACGAGTAAATTTTCCATATCAAATAAAGGCATTTCCCCGTGTAATTCATGCCAACAGGTGGTGCTGGGAGGATAAGACTTGAGAAAAGCCTACATTCCCAGCATACAAGGGGTGCTGGGGGACAAGACTGGAAACAGGCCTAACATTTGACAATATTTTGCACAAGGTAGCTGCTCTCAAGTTGAGTTCTCACACTTCTCAGTCTGAGTTTTTTACCATGGGTTCATGGCACCAAGCAATAACCCTTAATTTTTATACAAGTTGATCACAAATGAATATAATATATTATTCTAAATTTCATTTTGGAAAAAAAATAAAATTACATGGAAGGACATAAATGGAATTTTCAGTATTAAAACATATAGAAGTAATGCTAATAAAAACCTGACGGCCTTGGTCATCCATTGGTATGCACTCAACAGCAATAATTTTATCAACATCATCAGCTGTGACTGCATATTCAGGATTTGTTGCTCCTGAACCGAAAGACAGAAAAATAGACTTAATAAATAATTTTCGGAAGTAAAAAGGATATTACAGAGTAAAGCACTGCCTAAAGAATATCAAGTTAAAAACTCATCTCAACACTTACCCTCAATGTACTGCCTTGTGCCATCCTGAAGATGACGAACCCACTAATATGCAACCAAATATTGTAGACAGAGACAATTTAATCCTTAATTTATGATCAACGGGAAGAGAAAATGTGAAGTTTCATGTGAATCAACCAGGGAGAACATTTACCTGGAATATACAAAGAGAAGTTCCACGCACAGGATATCCACAGCCTAGAAGTTTGCCTCCTGGTTTAGCGTCCCCAATAATTTGGAAACCATCTATGCCAGGTCCCTCTTCTAATGGCCAAAAAAAAAAATACTATTAGAATTTTCAGTTCTTGTGCCTTTTTTTACAATCAATAAGATCCATTACCTTCGGAAACAGAAGAAGCAACCCTGTCATGCCTGGCAAGAGGATGAAACAAGTTGTCACTGGTCGTTTCCTCAGGTCTCATATTCACCTTACCTCTATCAGCTGAATTATCGTAAATAGGGCCCACATCTTCCCTGAAAAATATAATTTGCCAGTATGAGCTGGACATGTCATAACAAAACAGGATGCTTGCATAAGAACTGAACCTTCAAATTGAACAACCAAACGAGGGAAAGGAAATTCCTTGGGTATATATCTACTACTTTTGGAAAGAAAAAAAAACAAAGGAATATCTACCACTCAATCTAATCATGTCCCATTCTATGTTCGCTTGCAACTAGAAGGATGAAAAAAAAAAAAAAAAAAAAAAAAAAAAGAGTTGCTACCATCCACTGAGCCAGGATTTGAAGGATAACCTCTATTAAGTCTTAAGAGGAACCTTTGTTTATTTATTAACAGGCCAATCCAAGTCTGCAAATTTATGAAGTTCTAGGTAAAGGTTGCCAGTGATGACTAAGGATGGTGCCAGACAGCTAATATTACATGGACTCTTCCAAAGTATAGAGTGCACATGTCAGAGACACAACACTCGGACAAGGGTATCAATATGTGTCCGACATATTTGGTTGGACGTGTAACTAAATGGTATTTCCAATAATTCAATTCTATTAGGTTATTGCTTCAAAAATACTTAAATGCCAACTGCAAACACTATATTACATAAAACCTTATATCACTCTAGAAAATTAAAGAAATATAACAAATACTAGGAATATTTAATCGTATCTTTGTATCAATCTATTTGAAAATTTTATACATCCAACGCTCGAATACATAGTGCAGCCGACAGAGGTCCCTGAGTATAGTTAACTTAGCTAGACAGCCAGCTTACAGCAGCAATTACAATAACTATAATCTCCAAATTTGTCAAGTTCTAGGTAATAATGATTGTGAGTTATGACCAGTGATGGTTCCAAATAGTCCGCGTATATCATCAATTGTCTTATCTATAAAGGAATATGATATTCACAACTTATTTCTATATACATATATGTATTAGTAATAAAAGTTCAAATCTACCGATAATGAAAGGGCAAACTTGGCTTTTTGGGTCAATGACTAAAGAAAATACAAATGAAGCAGGGAAAATAAATATTTGGTATGAATATCAAATACTTTATTTGTTGGTGCCAGATTCTACACTGGCTCACAACTAGAAGGAAGAAATGAAGAAATGAAATGTTTACCAGTCACTTATCTCCCCTGCTAAATCATAAATGAGCCTTAGTTGAAATAAAGAAATTAAGTTAAATTAAAATATAAATCCAAGTCTGCAAATTTATCAAGTTCTGGGTAAAGGGTTATGAGTTTTGACCAGGAATGATGTCAGACCACTCAGCTTATTTCAGAAATTACCTTATCTATAAATGTCATATGATATTTTGATCCCCAATTTAATTTTTATCTATTGGTAAATAAAAGTTCAAAGCTACAGAGAATGAAAATGATTGCAATGGGTTTATGAGAACATGACTGAAGAAAAAACAATAAAATTTTGAGTAGAACTTTTAAGAAATATGGAAATTGCTAAGCTGTGAATGCCATACAATTTTAATGCATTTAGAAGATTTTCAAAGTACAATTTAAAGCACCATGCACCAAACTAGGAAGAGTATATGAAAAAACAATTCATTAAATATAATTATTTAAAATCCAAGGAACTTGCTTTTAATATTTTCGGAAAAAGAATATATCATCAGAGTTTTTTCAAGGAATTAAAGAAATAAAATAAAGATAAAATTTATGTAGTTTAAACTCAACCATTGATACATTTTCTCTCCGTCAAGTTATTTTTCAGTTCCTTACTTGGCCATAGTGTGGATAGTGGGACTTATACAACAAGAGTGGTGCATGAGTTGGCAAATTAGGATCATCAATTACTGTTTCCACTGTATTCCTTCTTCAACGAAGAAAAGGTGACAGCTATTTAAATAATTAATTTTGCATGTCCATAAGGAGAGGTAGCTTAATAAAACAACAAAGATAAAAGAAAAGGCGACAAAAAATAATAAAAGAAAATGCTTTTTTTGAGAAACACTTGGTATAGGAACTTTTACATTTTTCTTTTCTTGCACTTTTTGTACTCTAAGCAAGTCAACTAAATGTGGGAATTAGTCCAAGCAATTTAAAAACATGTGGATCACAGATAAACTAAGCATGGCATCAATTCTATTCCATTTTTTGGTAGTTTAAGCGAGTTGACTAAATATAGAAATTAGTCCAAGCAATTGCAAACATGAGGTAATATTAGACAGACCAACCATGAAACCATTTTTATATTCACATACATTGATAACAAGGAAAATTAGTAAAGAATATAATTAACTAAACAATAAGAGCAGGATCAGATCAACTCAATTGTCAAAGATGATTTAGGAAAAGAGAAAATCAAAGATGATTTAGGAAAAGAGAAAATCAAAGATGATCTCTTTTGGGATGAATTATTGTGACCTGTGAAGCTGTAACTGATTACATATATAAAGTTTAAGTGCACATCACCATATGATGTTAGGACTTCCAAATTCATGCATGAATGGTAATAAATAAACCATTAATGTCCATGATGTGCTCAGTCGCTCACTGGAACTCACCTTTTGCTGCATTTTTCTACATATTATCATGTTTTTAACTTATTTCAAATATTTCAACCCCAAGTTAACATTTATGTCTCTATTCAAACCTCAAGCCATTAGTTTGCATCATTTTCAATTTGGTCTTTATATCTTTGCCAATTCTCTACTTTCGAAGTCCTTGAAATCTCCATCAATATAAGTATTTTGCCCTCTACCTTAAATTTTACCAACTTCCTTCATCGTACAAGAAATCTAATTATAGTGAGAAATTTAAGATTTGGCATTATTTTTCACCAAGAATGATGATAAACATGGGGAAAATACTAATGCATGTTGGAAAAGGAAGAATATCTGCATCTCTAGACTGACTTAACAAACATTGGGATTTTCACAACTAATTTGGGTGTAACAACACCTGTGACACTTGACATTAGATGGTATATAGAAATAATATGTTCAGGTGATAAACCAAAAAATCATTTAAACATACCTCCAATGACTATGGCGCCCAAAAAGGTACAAACAAAGAATGTATGAGAAAACAAGAAACACAAACCATTTCCCATACATGGTACAGTTCAAACAATATGTAGCTAAAAATAATTATGACATGTTTCCCATACATGGAATGTAAAAAGAGAAGAGAGATCAAACCCTCACAACAAATCTACAAATTTTCATGCCAACCTATTAGCATCAGAAGCGAGCTTTGGCACATTGTCACTGTTTAACTGCTGGTGCATCTCTCTATTAAGTGTTAAGCTTCTCATTTGCACAAGGTCATTATCATGTTCATATCTTGACCTTTTATCATTTGATTCCAGATGCCTTTCATCAGCATAATGATTATAGGGAGGAATGCCATGCCGATCCTGCTTTAAAAAGAATATAATGAACAAAAAAAAAATGAACAATATAAAATATATAATGGCAAGATAAATCAGGCAGAAAAAATAAAAAGCGAGTAATAAAATTGCCAACTGTACCGCAGATCTCTGTGGAAGTTGACCATTCAAGAGACTAGAACCAGAATTATCTTTATTAAGGAATCCATCCCTAGCATGATTTCCCATCATAGAAGTTAACTCTCCAACTCTAGCCTGTGATTAAAGTAACTTCATCCTTAATATCTTCTCATCAACTATGACCGCCAAATGCAAGCTATATTAAAGTCCTTGCAAAGGGAAAACTCAAAAACTTGTAGCAGAAAATAAACACCTCCATGCTATACTTGTAAGCCACAATAACAAGCTATACCAAATTTCCTCAAAGGCACACAAAAAAAGAATCTCCATACAAACCTGGAAATGATCTAAAAAATGATGCATTTATATCTATGAAAATCCGTACCTAGATAAAGAAAAACAATTGATTTCAAGCTTATTGCAGAGTATCACATCAAAAAATTGATCACATTCTTAATCAATATGATAAATGACTTTTAACTATTTCAAATGGATGTCGACGCTGTTTTTGTCAGTTTCACTTCATATCTTTACATTTCTGAACTTGGAAAAGTAAAAGAATGCAAACAAGGGCCATTGCTTGGTGGAATGGTGAAAGGTTGGTCTGTCAATCTAACTAAAAATAATAGACAACTATAATACTTCGATCAATTCGATCTCTCTCTCTTTAAACCCCCAAAAAGGGTTTTAATATATACTCAATTCTCATGAAAGATGGTTTCTCTCTATTAAAACAATACAACCACCATTGAGAACTCCATTGATATATACTCAATTCTACTGAAAGAAGGATTCTCTCTACTAAACCTATATAAGCACCAACGATACAACCACCATTATGAACCCCATCTTCACTTGACCCATCATCTATATGTTGTTGATCAGGTGCTAGCGTTTCAGGCTTTCAGCAGCTGCTAGTCCTTGAACCCTTTCCCTTCCTCTAAAGTCATCATAAGATTGCAAATCCAACAGGAACACATATAGCTTTGAAACCAACACAAGAAGGAAGAATTCAAGAAACAGAGACAATCAGAAATGCACAATTTCAACGAAATAATTCAGCCAAAAAACTCCAAAAGGCTCAACCCATATAGAAGAACTGAAGATGTACCTAGTTCTAAAAGGCTACAAGCTATTTTTAAGAACTACTACCATAACCCTAATCAAAATCTCAGCTCTTTAAAAGACAAAAATACCCTATAAGAACTGCTACTGTAACATAAGCACCGATGCTACAGCAACTGCTATACAATCACACGAGCACTCATGCTACAGTACTAGTTATAGTGATATGAACGGTCATGGTACAGTAAAGCATGTAATAATTCACAATTAAAACAAAATTAAAAATAATACTCAAGAAATAAAATATCTATCTCGTATTATTTTGGTTGTTTCTTTCGGTTTGATTTCTCCATAAACTGAACTGATACACGGACAGTGTCGTTGCAGATCAGGCAATAGCATACCATGGTGATGATTGTGATCTACTTATGAAAGTGATATTTGTAATAAAAGGTGGTCGTCCCCCAAAGGGATTAGAAGAGTAAATGCAGAAATGGAAGCATAGGCAATGTGAATGAAAAGCAATTTTAAGATTGTTTAGAGAAGCCGTATCTATCTTTCTATGAGTAACCAAAGAAAACAGCCTGATATGCTTTGGATATACAACATATCCACGATAAAATTCATGAACTATAAGTCAACAAGAAAAAACCTTGAACATAAGATGAAAGTTTTGACTATACAACAGCAGTCCTAATAAGATCTATAAACCATAAATCAACAAGAAATGACCTTAAACATGAGTACACAATACAAATTGTTCATGCATCAGATATTTTACTACATAATGCAGTATTGGGGAGGGGAGAAATCTAGGCAAGAGAAAACTGTGGGAGAATATGGTGGTACCATAGCTTGAACCCTCACGGTAACCAAACACCGCAAGGACATCACTCCCAAGGCAAGCGAAGCTACGGTAGGCAAAAAGAAAGAAACAATAATTAAATGTAAAATGCATCAACCTTTAGCAACTACAACAAATTCACAATGGCAGCAAATTACAAGATAACTATCTTACATGTGAAGTTCTAATCTTCATCTGCAGTTGATCATATAAGAGCTGCAAATAAAAAAACAAAAATAAAAAGAAGTATACCCGAATCAGAAATACTCTTTGAAAGATAAGTAGAATATATATTTGTATATCAAGCACAGTTCTAGTAAACTCACAGGCCTAAAGAAGAAGGGTTTTTTTTTTTTCACCTTTGGGTAAGTAAAGAATGATTGGAGATAACCACAAACATGCTCATGTTTGTTCCTTTTATTCTTCAATAATATGAGATCACTAATTTGAGATTTAATTCTTGTATTATTTTTTTAATTAACCCATAATTTAATTTCTTGTAAAATAACAAAGCTACAAATTAGTTATTTAATTCATGGTTATATGGATAAAATGACCAAAATTTTTTTTTTTTATATGTATAAAAATATATTATATTATTATTTTTAACATATCCTTGCCATATCCATGTCCAGTTCTTTTGAGATTTGTTGTATCACAGTGTCCGTATCGTGTCATATCCGTGCTTCCTAGCTAGTCACCATTGGAAACTCAGCCCAAAGGATTCAACAGGGCCTCAATTTGGGCCATGTTGTACACATTAAAAAGTCGCAGATTACTTCAGGGAAGCAACATAGCTACAGGCATAAAACAACCAGATCCAAAACCTGACACATAATGGCAATATGTAAAGCCCCTGGTTATCCCATGAATGGAAGGCAAACTCATATATATATATATATATATATATATATATATATATATATATCTCATATCATGGGACTGTGTGACCTACTAGCCACGTTGTCATTGTGTCAACTGTCACATAAATTACCTGTATGGTATACAGCTCATACCTTTACACTGTCAGAAAGAGAAGAGGCATTAATAACATGAGGCCAAATGCCATATTCAGCCAATAAGCCCATCATTGATGACATAAAGATGAATCTCTCATCCTCCACAACCTGAAACACAAATACAGTTTTAACTTGGAGAAATACTAATATAAAAGATAATAAAAAGGGGGCAAAGAAGGCAATAGATGTCGAGCAAGGTAAGAAAATGAAGATATCCACATGCAAAGCAGGTCAAGATGTTACATGCGGAAGTTATATAGGTATTTCAAAAATAAGAATTTATTATTTATTTTTATGGCTTGACCAGAAAGAAAGTTGTTATATATGACAACATTGACAGTTTGTTGACATTGTAGGACTGCAAGTATATGCATAAGTATACATGTACATGTGTGTATCTAACCATAAGAAACTGAAGGCAGTGTATGTGTAAAAGGATGGGGCTCAGCCCTAATTACACAATAAGGACTTAGGTCATGATCTTATAACATGTTGAAGATTGAAAGAAGTTTCTCCATGTGCCCCTAATTAGTTTTATTTGGTTTATATTAGAAGCTAGTTTATGTCTAGCCAATGGACTTTAATATAATAAGTAATCCTGATTGATTGAGTTTGTTCTCCTAGTTTGATTAGAAAATGTCGAAAATGGGATCTCCATTTAACTCAGTATTCTAGGACATTTTAAGAGAGAGGAAAATTATTACTAAAATGATTTTTTTTTTTTTTTTTTTTCATTCCTTGCTACCTGTCAATGCTCTATTCCCTTCATTGATCGTTTGGTTGTGGCATATTTTCACATAATATAATTAATAAGATAAAAGGGTGCTCATAGAATATTGGTGATACGTATTGGCACGAGAGTATGATTTAAATCAACAGGCATGTGGTATATATTGAGTGATATCGTTTCCAAATATTTAGAAGTTTTGTCAAATAGCAGAGCCCAATAGGTCAATCTTGGGTGGTTTATTAAAACTGTTCACTCCAAGGTCAACAGTGTTTTGGTTAGACTGGAAGAAAAAACCTGCAGCGATTAGCAGAATAATTGGGCAGTAGCATGGTCCTAAAATAGGATAGTGACAAACTCGGGTCTTGAGTGAATACTTTTTCACAAAGCACCGGGTCTGTCAACAGAGAAGCCAAATTACTCAAAGTTGAAGCAGCAAAAAATATGAAGAGCGAACAGAATTTGATCAACACCATTATCAAGACTGACACAAGTAATTTTTGTCATCTTGACTCTAATAGGAAGATGGAGACGTCACCTCATCAAGACTTGTAAAGTTTTTTTTTTTTTTTTTTAATATATATATGAGTAAAATTTCATTGAACAAGCGATAGGAAAACAGGGTATGAGTTATTTTTGTTGAGCTGGATAAAAAGATGGACATGTTGCCTTCAGGTTTCCAAATTGGAATTTGGAAAAAGTTAAAAACTAGCATCAGAAAATCATTATAATTGCCATCATGGAGTTGGTGATTATCTTTCAGCATGCAATTTACACAAACTTAGTTGGTGGAATGTCTCCTTATATCAATTCTACACAAATGGACAAAAAAAATTGAAAAAATGGGTCTTTCTTGTTTATAAGTTTTTTTAAAAAAAAAAAAAAAACAAAACAAAAAGGGTCATTGCTTGGTGAAATGGTAAAAGGCCCGGACTAATATGCGTGAAGATGCAAGTTCGAGTCTTGAGAACAACCACTTTGCTCAAGATAACATCAAAGGTTGGGTTTTCTTCATGTTTCCCTCCATAACCTCCTGTAGGCAGGACATACATTAGGAAATTACTTTTAGAGGGAATTAAATCAAGGCCATCAGGCCACTACATTTTGGAGAAAAAAATCATAAATTGACACCAGTGTCATCAAAGGCCCAAGGTGCACTAAGGCACTAGAGGTCCTTTGCAGCCTAGGCGCAAGCCACGCAAGGCGAGGCGCGTGCCTGAGTGAAGTGAGGCACGCACACAATTCAAAAATTAAATTGCTATTAAAGCATTCATATTCCATATTAAAGGAGCAAGTGTTTTCAAAGGCGCGCCTGATGTATGCCCTAGCACAAGTGTTGTGCCTGTATGAGCCTAGAGCCTAGGCGCACGTGAAAGTGTGCCGTTGACAAAACAGATTGACTCTAGAAGAAGTTTAAACGTTTGTCAACATTTAATGCTTGGCTAAACGTTATGAGTACCCACTAATTGCATGGTTAACTCCTAATTTTTATTGGAACATTAAATTTAACAAAAAATTGTTTCAGCCTTGGAAAGTAATAAGAAAACCGTTTTTCTTTTCTATTCTTTTTTGTGGGGGGTTGTGGGGTGGGGGGTGGATCAGGGATGTTTATACTACAACTTGACATGTTAACTCAGTGTTGTTGATTGACACATGGCAAACAAGATGACATGAACACAAGTAAGGCGATGCAAGATGGTCGGCAAGAGGATAACCCTGTAACAGCCAATAAGTACAGGGAAACAGCGGAACACAACTCGCGTAAGTTTTCTACGATCATAGCCACAATGGGCCACATTGGTGAGTTGCTTACAATCCTTCACACCTAGTTTCTTAGAGTGAGTTACGTATAATACCGATCATTGAAAAGATACAGGTGAGGTGTGTACGGTCCTATATTTATTAACCACAACGTTCATGATGTGTTTTGTACTTTTGTACGATTTATGGGAAATTTAGGGACTTGCGGGAAGACTAAGAATCTAATAGTTAATCATGATTATTAACAAGAAAGAAAAAAAATTTAAGACATGCTTTAAAAACAAAAGATTAAAAAGGAATTAATCGAACAGTATACAGTTGATGACTAGATCATGAATTGCAATCGAGAAATTCCTTTATATAATTGATCTTCTATAAAGTTATATATTGACTATAGATGTAAGATTATTACTTGCTAGGCGCTTGATCAGTGAACTGTTATGTAATCATTCAACGATGGCTGCTTTGAGGCAAACCTCCCGACTATCTGTGCATCCCTACCTCCTTTATCGCTGTGCAGTCATTTGAGAGCTTTAGCTGATGATCCAAGTTGTTTCCCTCTCAGTGATGTAGCTTATTTCCCATCATCTCACCAGCCAACCTTGACCTCTGTTATTTTATGTTGAGGTCATATTTAGTTTTCAAAGATTGCCTTGATTTGGTGTGATCTTATTAAGCTGTGAACTCACTCCCATTTCAGGTAAATGTAGAGTTGATCATGGTTAAAGGAATTCATAGATATTTTATTTGTTGGAATATCATTATTTTTTCCATTCTTAAAAATTTCATTTTCATAATAATTGAGAGAACAATTTCATTTACATTGGAGATTCACACTTTCGTGGCTTTTCGATTGTGCTTCGGACATGGTGTTAATCTATATTCTGGATTTTGGTCATTTGTTATTGGATCTTGAGATAATCTGGCAAAGAATATTATATACATTAGAATGTGATTTCCCATTTCACCAGATTTGGGTATTGGACAAGTAATCTAAATTCAAACTTGGGGGCATGACATTTGCTCTGGTACTTCCTAGTGCCTGGACAGGAAGGTCTATATTCAAACTTGGGGGTATGACATTTGCTTTAGTACTTCCTAGTGCCTAGCACCCAAATTCAATGTCCGTCAAGATTGTTCTTAGCTAGTTAGAGGCATCTTTAGATATCAAGAAAGCAATGTTATTTGGAATTTTGCCAAGCCTGTTGGTGAAGGGTTTGCTTGAAAGCTGAGAACATAGCTCCATTAGAGGCCTTTCAACATGTTGCCACTTTGGTTTGCATAATTCTATGGTGGAAGGAGATTCCTCGGTAGCCTATTGATTTGGAATAAATGCAGATTCCTCAGTAGCCTATTGATTTGGAATAAATGCAGGAGCTCAGGATGACGGAAATCTATGAGCTCAGGATGACAAACCGCTGGCATTCCTAATAGCCTTCTGTATAGAGTATACTCTATTATTTTCTAACAAATTGTCATTTCCTCTTACAAAATATATATATATATCCAGCAATAAGTTCCGTTAATGTAAAACAAGATGTATTTCAAGTAAGTTTTTCTTCAACTGATTAAAGGACAAGCAAAGTTTATAAAAGACGGGGGGTGGGGGGGAAAGAAGGCGAATTGTTCTTCCTGAATATACATACTTCAAAAGATGTAATAAATAAAATAAATAACAAAAAGAACCGTAGCTTTTTTTAGCTCAGAAAGAGAAACTCATTCCACATCCATTCTGCTCAATTAATGCATACTCAGAGTTCTATCTTTAAATAGAATTACAAAAAAGAAAATTATACAAGGTGTACAGGAAGGTAAAAATTGCTGGCTGAAATTGTGTACCTTTAAATCGTGAACCAATTTTAGATTTTCTTCAAGATCACCTTTTCTGTGAGCCAATTCGTTTAAGGATGAAGTTATTGCTTCATTTTGCTTCTCATCTATAGCCTGTTACTCGAGATAATGTTAACTAAAATGACATTCCATTCAAAGGAAAATGATAACTAAATACTATACAAGGAACAACTGCAAAAGAAAAGCTAGTAATTTCCAAGAAATGGACAAACCATTCGTAAGTCAGCAAATTTTCTCTCCAGTATATATTTCTCATTCAGAAGCTTCAGTTCCTGATACCATGGAGACCAATTAATTGTTTTGCAATTGAGAGATGCAGAATCACGAAGGCTGTAACAGCATTAACCACATGTGAGCAACGGGCTTCACAGAATGATGTACCTTAACACAAGCAGCAGCAATTTGTTCACGAAGAAACAGGATTTCCTCTTTTTGAGCCCTGGCCCGTGAATAAAGTTCCTACTCATAAATTTAGTAAGAGAAAAGGAATCACACCAGCTTCTATGTAAGTTCAGAATTATATATTCCCAATGAAAATGTGAAATTCCAGTACCATAACCTCTTGATCTTGAAAATACTTGTCACTATCATCTGCTTTCAAATTCCTTGAATCTGAATTCTTTTCATAGTTATGCCTTCAAAACAAAAACGAACACTGGCTTTGTTGAACCTCAAGTAATTGCGATATAAGGCTTTTTCGAGTTGAGAAAAAAACTAATGCATCTTCATCTTAAAGAAGTCTTAAAATGAAAAGTATAAATTAGCATGAATTTCTTCTTTCTATTAACCGAAGTTTAGAGCTTGCCTGTTTGGATATTCAGAGTTTCGTGGCTGAACCCCAGCACTGTTGTGCCCATTCATAGAGATTTTATCAGAAGACATTGTATTTGCAGTTCCAAGTCCTCCCAAAGACAACTTGTAATTGCCAGACAGTTAAATTGTTCCATCATCAATGAATAAATATCGCATTTCACCTCATATTGTTCTCCTAATCCATATATAAATCTGCAGATAATGTTGTAGTTCAGTGTTATCTGACCCTAGTACCAGGTGTTCCAGGAACTAGAATTACGACCTGTCAAGAAGATCAACAATCATTTAATTTGATGCAACTCAAGAGACAAAGCATTCATGCTGTTTTACAATTGCTTTACAATTGACTTCATCTCACAATTTCCGCATGTGCTAAAATTATGTTTGTAACTGTTGTAACCGTTCTTTATGTATATTTCTACGATTAACTTTCATGAACTCATGTAACTAGTCATGAATATATTTCATGCCGAAACCTTGATTTTTATTGAAACATGCCCATATGTATACTTGATCAATGGTCTCAAGCAGATCCCCACATGTAAAACTTAAGAAAATATCCCATAGAGACTTTGACTGCAATGGTCTCAAACAGGCTAGTCTCTAGTTTTTACAGCAGGCAAAATTTGAGAAAAGATGTCATAAGAGACTTTTACTGCAGCGTTCTCAAACAAGCTAGTCTCTAGTTTGAGAAATTATTCCCGGGCCAATCATGCGCTAACACATAAACAAAATGTGTAGTTTTTACAGGGTATTGGTCAACCACCTGCTACTGAAGAAAAAATTGTGTTCCTAGACTTGATCACCAGTGACATATCAACAGTAAACAATGCATAGAATCATATTGACATGGTGCGAGAGATGCGTTCTATAACCGAGATGATAATTCATTCAACTAAGTAAATAAACATATGCTAAAGAAGACGAGTCAAAATATAGAGTCAAGTTTCATCATAGCAGCTGTATAATGAGTATCACAAAGAGTCACAAAGATTTCTCACAGAACAAACAAACTCTAGCTTTTACAAAACACAATTACATTTTCCACTCAAGAATCATCACAAGTATCTTTGACTATGAATCAATGTACGCAAATTGTGCATTTTAATTGTGAAAATCAATCAGTAAAAGACAGTGACCAACCAAAACATTTTGAATTTTTTTTTTTTAAAATAACAATAATTGAATTATTTAAAAAGGAACAATAAGATAAATCAATAAAGAATCAAACTCAGAGGTGTTCAAGAAAGAAAAGTCCCAAAAAAAAAAAAAAAAAACTAGAGAAAAATCAATCATAACAAGAATTACGACTGAAGAGTTGTTTTACATCAATCAATAACTTGGTGAGCACAAATCCAATAAAATCAAACAAAATGAACTCTGGAAGTTTGATGCATACCTCTCCGTGTGTATCGAATCAAAATTACACAATGAAGTAAACTCGATAAAGTTCAAGAAAGTAAGTAAAGCAAAAGGAGGACATATCAATTAACCAAGAACTAAAACAAGACTCGTTCTATATCAACAACAAGTGTACTTCAGTCGATTAAAGGAAAAAAATTAAAAATAAAAATAAAAATTCACTGAAAACAAGCAATTGTGTGAGTCTGTGTGTGAATAAAGTGAAGAATTCTAGAAAAGTTAACCTGAGTGTTTTTGCAGAACTCTGGAAGGGAGACTAGAATAGGAGATCCGTCAATTCAAGAAAAGAAAGCTAGAGAGAGAAAGAGCGAGGGGGGTTTAGAGAGAGAAAGAGAGGGAGGGGGGATGGTTTTGTTCGAGAAAGTCAAATGCAAGTCGTTGGAGTTTTCCACGAGGGCACGGCAAAGCGAGTGTGAAAGCGAGACACGAGAGTGGAAAAATAAAATAGCAAAAAGTAGAAAGGAGGCGTTATGAAGTGGGATTAGTAGTTTTTTGGTTTCTGCCCGCAAGGGGAAGTTACGGGCAGTTCCGTATATGGGTGATGCCATGGATTGCGTTGCAGAGAGATGATAAGATGACTTGTGGATGGACGAGAAATAATGTTTTTCAACTTTTTGTTTGCCAGCGAGGCAATGGGCTGGAGTTAGGGACCACGCTTGAGAAATGATTGAATGAGGAGCAACATGATTAATAGAAGACCCATCCGCCATCCTACAACAAAAATAATAAATAATAAATAATCATATCAATTTTTTTATATATAAAAAATTTGTGCGATCTTGTAACCAAAAAAATAGACAAGTTAGATCCACTCATAACACAATATATATATAAATATATAAGTCACAAATACTAAAGGGAACAACTATTTTAAAACAAAAATAGTATTATTTTTTATCATAATTAAGCGGATCGTTTTCTCCTTCTTAACGTGTACATAATTTTGTAATGGATATTCAATTGTTTATAGTAAATAACAACAACAATTGAAAGTTTAGAATACCAATTTTGGCTTAAAATAATAATTTTATTTATTTTAAAGTATTCTCTCTATCCCACTTTAATAGTCTATTTTTTATTATTATTGTCCCAAACTAATTATTCACTATGAAAAATAAAAAGAAGTTAAATGTATCATTCTAATGTCCTTGAACAAAACTATTAACTGCATATCCTTTAAAAAAGATTATGCATTTAATACTTGAAGGTGATATTTAATATTTGAATATTAAAAATAGTCTTTTAATATTTAATATATTACTACAAAATATATATCTTTTAAAATCATATTGCTTACTTTTTGAGATGAAAAGTCAGAGTTTTGTATTAAAAATTTGTTTAAGTATTACATAATATAACTAATCCATCTATTTCAACAATGGTATTAATAAATAAATAAATAAATCTTATAATGAATTTACATTATTTTAAAATTTTAATTTTATATTACTAGTTTGACCTCAATTAAAAATTCCTAGCCCTTCTCTGTATGCATATGGTGGTGTTGGCAGCCACAATGGTGGAGTTTGATTTCTTTTTTTTCTTTTTTCTTTTTCTAAGGGTCATTTTTGCCAAATAAAATGACTAATAAAGTTTAATATTGTATTTTAATGATTTAAATGGATCAAATCAGAAGTCAAAGGGCAATTAAGTACTCTTATCATGGTTGGTGGTATTATTGTTCAAGTTTGCAAACTTGGGGGCAATTGGATCATACCCTCTCTAAGTTTTATCTACTAGTATTTTTATTGCAACCCTAAATGGGTGTGAGTGCAAATTACTCAAAAATTATAAACTTCAATAATGGACAATTAAAGTGGGACAGAGGCATCATAGCGTTGTATAAATGGAGTGTGGACCGGGGACGGAGCTAATAAAGGCCTGAGGGGCACGTGCCCCCTGAGTTGGCCCGTACTCTATAATATATGTGGTAATTTTTTAAATTTTTTCCATATATATGAAAAATGTTATACTCTTGTGATTCCTAAAATTATTTATTTATTTTTTCTTTTATTCTTCAAATATCTTAAATTTCCTTAAGGCTTTGTTTGGTTAGATAAAAATAGCTAGAAAATAAAAGAAACAGAAAATTTTTAATTTTTTTTAGAGTTTGGATGGATAGAAAGAGAAAACTAATGGAAAAGTTTGTTTCCATCCTTGTCTATTTTCTCTCAAACTTTTCATGCACAAAACAGAGGGAAATAATTTTTTCCCGTGAAATGCTTGCCTTTTTATTTAATATTCCTATTTTACCCATTAACTTAATCGTGAAAAACAGTTTCTTCCTTTATTTTTGTACTGGATTTCTAGGAGGCAAGTTCTCTGCAAAATAACTTTTCTTTGATTTTTTTTTTTTTTTTCACCTTTCTTTGTTTTTCCACAAGTTCATAAATAACTCGCAATAACAAAATACAATCAAATCTCTCTAAAAAAAATTAGTATTGTCATTGATACATCTCCGTGTTTTTTTTAATTTTCGTTTCTCATAGACTAATAATTAGTTCTACTTCTGCCTCATCAAGTATTATGAAGTCATATTTTAAATATAAATAAATTATAAATAATTATATCAATAAATTTAATAATCCATTATTTTACTATTTCCTTGCTAAAAATATACATCAACAAATACAAATTTATTTATTTATTAGTATTTAAAATTATAAGGGTAAATTTGGTATCTTCAATCAATTTTTTTTTCACTTTCATGATATCCAAAATAACAAAATAATATTTCTCTACAATTTTCTTGAATAAATTTTCATTCTAACCAAATGCATGTTAGAAATTTCTTTTTTTTTCATTCACTTCATTTTTCATTTCATTTCTTTTCTTACTTATTTCCATCTAATCAAACGAAGCCTAATAGAAAAAGTCAAAATTTTCTTCCTCAATTGAAACTTTTTCCTTTTAAAGTTTTTAAATTTTTCTTTTCTTTTTCTTTTTCTATTTCTACTCTTAAAATTATTCTTTTTAACGTGCATATTTGAATAATTTTATTCTTCTTTGTCTTTTCAATTTTATAGTTGTTGTATTATATATATATATATATATATGGTCCGATTTTTTTTGTTTTTTTTTTTTTGCAGCGTGAAATCCTAACTCCGTCCCTGATGTGGATCCATCCTCTTAATTTAGAAGATGTATTTTAAAATAAAAAACCACGCTATAATTTAGATAAATTTCATGTGAGATCAAATTTAACCATTTTACATGAATTCGTTGGAGTTTTGCTTCTTTTTTATTTTTTATATATATAAAAACAAGCATTTTAAACGTTATCCTTTCAAATCAGATGACATTCCAATTACACACAATTTTTTAAATTTTTTTTTTACCTTGTCAAAAAAATTACACCCACTTTTGTCTTTACAAGGAAATGAATGTTTTCGGGTGTGGTGTGATAGTCCCGGGTGTTGGTGTTTTCCAAAAATATATGTCGATTGCTTTAATTTCCAAAAATACAAAAACGAAAAATTGAATGTTCTATTTTCACCTATGAAAAGGTGTGAAATTGCGTCATTTTATTATGGCAGAGCCAATGCATGCCTCCATATATATATATATATATATATATATATATATATATATATATATATATATATATATTGTTTTTTGCTCTTCAAATTCGTATAATTTATATATATATACATATTGTTTTTTTGCTCTTCAAATTCGTATAATTTCCTTTCTTTTTTTTTTAAATGTTACATTCCTATTTCTCTTTTATCAATCAAATTCTATATTTTTTTTTCCCTTCAATTGTATGTAACCTTGTTTTTAACTCTCCAAATTCTTCTCTTTTTTTTCCCTCTACTTCTTTTCTTCTTCATCTTATGCTAACTTTCTTCTTGGATAACGAAAATATATAGTGTAGTTATATTACAAAAATCCCATTACACTTCTTGTTTCCTTCTTCATCCTATGCTGACTTCATTCAATGTCTTCTTATTAGATTACAAAAATATTCGAGTAATTAGATTACGGAAATCCAAGTAAACTTCTTGTTTTTCTTTTTCAATAGATGCTACCTTTCTTATTTAATTACCGAAATATTCACGTAATTTCAAAATTTAAAGTTTTCAACACAGATACAAAATGTTGTAATTAGATTACAAAAATTCCATTAGATTTATTGTCTTCCTTCTTCATCCCACGCTAACTAGCCTAACTTTAATGTCTTCTTCTAGGATTACCAAAATAAATTTTTTTTATCACAATACCAAAATATTCGCGTAGTTCCAAACTTTAAAGTAGTATTCTATATGGATATAAAATGTGGTAATTAGAATTATATAAATTTCATTTAGGGCTGCAACTCAAGCGGCCCAATCCGAAATAATCCGAATTCAGTCTGAAATTTTGTGGACTTGGGCAAAGTTTTTATAATTTTGGTTTAAGCCTGAGCTATTTATAACTAGGCTTAAATTACAAGAGTGTGGTAGCCAAATTGGTAGTGTGTTTGAAATTTTTGGTGAAGGATTCAGGTTCAAGTTCTAGGAGCCCGAGATGAGCGTCCAACCCGTTTGAGTTACAGTCTTAATCCTATTAGACTTATTTCTTTCATAATTCATTACAAAAATATTAAGGCAAAAGAGCAAAAAAACACCTCTAAATTATAACATTGTTGCATAATGTCCCCTAAATTATTTTTAGAAGCAAATTGCTCCTTGAACAATACCATATTGCAAAATGCCCTCTTAAAGGCCACCAAAGACTAAATTTCGTCCAACAGAGAGACACAATTATTAATATACCCTTGCTTAAAAATTTATTATAAAAGATATAAAATATTACTGGAACAAAATACCAATAATGCCCTCATATTTTATATATATTTTTCTTCATCTTCCATGCTTCCAATGACTACCGACCAATGACTGCCAACGTCTTCCAGGTTTATGTGATCCATCGTTTTTTAAGATATGGGGACAATCGATTTGCCTAAACTTTTGGGAATTTCAATGTGGTCAATTATATGAGTTCAATTACAAAAGCCGTATGTGATGGATGAGAGCGATGATGACATCGAGTATGTGATACCCCTCGATTCTAGAGCCACGGGTGATCAAGTCCGAGCACAGATCCGAGGGATATCAGACAATCAATATGTAAACAAGCAAGAACAAAACTGAATTACGAATAAGATAATAATGCGCTGAAAGAAAACTAAAATGAACATCCTCGAACCTTAAATAATAAATTAATATA